TACTCCGCCATCCTGCAGACCGTTCCAAAGCTCTTGGCTGCAGTGGAAAAGTAAAAAAAAGTCCTTTTCTAACCACTATTTCTTGACCTCGATGGAAAACTTCATGAGGTCAAGGAAAGATGTGAAGGAGAATTCAGAAGGACTTCAGAAAAGACAGCTGCGGGGCTAAGAGAATCCGAATGCACTTATCTAGCCTACGTATTTATGCACGTAATTATGATATTACAATTATTAAAAGACGCATTTTTGACACTTCGCCCCATACATTCTTACCGTGTTGCTTTAATGCAAGTTATCTAAAGGTGGATAACAGTGGAAAATTTTACCAAAGTTGCAATAATAGAAATGGTTGTCACATTGAGAATGCATGCTCACACTCACCGTCCTGCCCACCCATATTTAACAAACATGAATCCCAATTATTGTATGTAAATAATACATTACATTTACTCAGGGGGCCACCCAGCTTGATCCCTGCCTTTATTAAGGCGAGAGTGTCAGCATCTGTGACTGTAGTAAAATTAATTAATGAAAATGCCTGAAGGCTCGCGTATAGGTCTGTTATTCTTGACAGTTCAAAATATATGCATATTATAAAGTTATGGCATAAGAGAGAAAAGGCTTAAAGCTGATGGGAACTTACATGGTCATCAACGTCCTTTATCCATCATGGTTGATGTTTTTTTTATTGTAGAAAATTCAAACACATTACTTCAACTATACAAAACATAAATGTGTTGATATGTACAGTATAAGATTACAGCAAAGCCAAAAGAAACAATGAAAATGTGAGTGTCTTAACTAAAGCTCCCCTCAAGCCATTTTTAACTGCCGTTTTTGAGATCGTATTCGTTTTAATTCTCTGTATGTAAACTAAAACGGAGTAGTGTGGATGCGTCTGAACCCCCTCCCAAAAGAAGTGGCATCGTTTGCAGAGAACTGGTCCTTTGGCTTCTCTGCATACAGTTGTTTAGCTTCTCGCACTTCCTTGCTAAACCTGTACTTTAACGCCCTGCAGCCAGCTCTGTCCCCACTCCTATATGCCTCTTCCTTTTAAAACCTTAGCTGGTTTGGCTGTAAACCAGGGTTTGTCATTGTTATAACTCACCCTGGTGTGTGTTGGTACACAGCTGTCCTCACAGAAGGACAGATTCAATGGTCCATTTCTTTGATCATGCTCACCATGAACCCACATGGAAAGAACCTATATAAACATATATGTTTTAATATAGGTTTTGATATAGGTTTTTAATATATGTGAAATATATAAAATTGGCCGTTTTCCTATATTATATGTACATATATGCATATATGTGTACCTATATCCGTGCCTACATGTACCTATATGTGTACCTATATCAGTGCATACATGTACCTATGTTTACCTATATATTAGCAAAATTATAAAAATCCATAGCTACTAGGCAACATAAGTAATAGCCCAAAATGTAGACATTTACATTATTTATAAACTTAAGAACAATCAAATAGTACAAGAACAAAAATAAGACAAAAAACTGAACAGAAATTTTGACATTGTCTTCAAATTCATTAACCACAGTGAAATGCTCAGATAGATGTGGGATGATGATGATTACTTGAATGTATGTTCTATGTACTTTTGTTTTTTTGTTAGTTTTTTTTTGCTACATTTAGACTAATGACCTTTCAGCCAAATTCATCTAGAAACTGCATTAAGCCAATACAGAAAACATTGCATTTTGCATTGCATTTGGTGGATGTAACGGTGAATGTGTGGATGTGTATGAGCTGTAATGTGAATCTGGAAGTGACTTGAAATTGGAGAGAAAAAAGGCTTGATTGACAAAATAAAAAAACAACAAACCATTTTGTTATACATTTCCTTCCTTTCCACTATCTTTATACAAGAAAGAATTGACCTTGTAAATGTTTCAGGAAAACATGTAAACATCATAGCTTTCCATCTCCTCTCACTTAATTGTTAAATTCCATAACATGCCAATTACATGTGATACCAATTTCACGTGTTCGCACATACATAAGTCCTTGCATAATTTTCTTTTAGTTCTTAGTTATTGCCTTGATAATAGAAAATATGAGCTAGGCATCATGTATGACAGTTGCCAAAGTGAGATGTGAGCTACAAAATGACCACATCCTGTCATGAGCTATATAGGAGACATATCTTGCATCCACATATAGGGCTTATATGTGGATATAAAGAAGCAATACCGGAGACCTATATGGCCTGTATATGCACCTCAATTTTGCATATATGTGTATATATGCAGCATATATATTATCATATATGTGCATATATGCTGTATATTTGCAGCATATATGTGCATATAAACTGCTTATAGGTTTCATATATGCGCATATATCCTCATATAGGTTCTTTCCATGTGGGAAGTAATAAGAGTGTCCCAGTTGAGCGCGGGGCACAACGTGACAGGCACTGCTAATTGTGGTGTAGCAGTGATCCAAAGTGTTCCCCTCTCTGGTTGGACACTCTATAAACTACTTTCTTTTGTTAAAGTCACCATCAACAATAACAAGGGAGTCCGGGTTTGTCTGCTCCACACACAGTATCCGGTTTGCCAGCATGCGCTGTGCGTCCTGCACGTTGGCCTGCAGTGGAATGTAAACACCAACCAGAGTGAATGACGCAAACTCACGAGGGGAAGTAAAACGGTTTACAGTTAAAGACAAAATATTCCAGATTAGGAGATGCTAATCACTGTCACATCGGTACACCGGCCATTGTTAATGTAAAAACAGACACCTTCACTTTTTGTTTGGCAGGAGATTTCTGTATTGCGGTCCGCTCTGTGCAGTTGGTAGCCAGCCAGTATCAGTTCACACAGCCACGTCTCCGTGAAGTACAGAACAGAAGGTGAATACAAATCACTATTTTTCCCCACCAGTAGCTGAAGTTCGTCCAGTTCGTTGCACAATGAACGCACGTTGGAGAGAAATATTACTTGTAGCAGTGTCCCCACCAGCGAAGACACACAAGCAACCCAGCTCTTTTTCCTCTCCTGCTTGAATACACATATTTTGCAAACATATAATGTGTAATATGGTTATATCGGTTAGTTTGGTGTACATGTAGAATGAATAATCCAGCACATCTTTGTAGTAGTGTCCATGTGGATTCCACATTACAACTTAAGAGCACACTGAAGTCAGAAACCGACTTCATAACTCAGGAAATGGGACCAGCCAAAGAGCATGTGAATGTACTGTGAACCGCTGGCTGCAATTCGAAACCCTCACTACTAGATGCCACTTAAACTTACACACTAAACCTTTAAATACTTCCTGGTCACTTTACTCCGTTAGGAACCTTCTGAAGCAAAAATAACTTTTCAAACACAGCCCCTAAATTTGTTATGAGGAGCGAGGAGCAAGGATCTCTGAGGAGCATTGAGCGAGGATACACGAGGGCTGCGGTTGAATAGTCAAAAAGATTCCTTTTCTAATCCCCTTTTCCTTGAGCTCAATGAAAAAACGTCAAGATGTCAAGGAAAGATGTGAAAGAGAATTCAGAAGGACTTGGAAAATATAATGTTGATAGGTACAGTATTAGATTACAGCAAAGCCAAAAGAAACATGGAAATTGGGTCTTACTCAAGATGAATTTTATTGTATGAGTTTGAGAATGCTGCATTACTTTAAATGTTGCTGCAGCAAGGAATTGTGGGACGGCATTATCTCCTTTCCTTTCGTAAAGGAAGCATGAAGCACCTTTCCTTAGCTTCTAGAGAATTCGACCAGGGCTGAGTTCAGCACCAACAAAACTTAGGAACTTTATTTCAACAGAAGCGGCGGTGCATTGGACACACAGTTGTGTACACAAGCGCAGTGCACTGTACTGCCTTTTCAATAGGGCTGTGTTTACATTCTTGGTGCACTTGATTGGGTAACACTTCTGACACACCCATCAAACAGGAGAAAGCATACCTTGAGGCCCACACGTTGCACAAGGTTTCAAGGAAACATGTTATTCAATCCGAAAACATTTTGAGATTGAACTCACCCCAGCTCTTTTCATGACTGCCTCTTAAATACTTCTGGGTCACTTCACTCTGTTAGGAACCTAAGCAAAAAAAAGACTTTTCAACAGCAGCCGAGGTCATCCTTCACAAAAATCTTTCACTGACCGGGACATATCCATATTGGATTAGCCGTTACTGATTGGACGCTGCAGCTGATCGGACTGAACTGATACAGAACAACATCAGTTTCATTCTGAGTGAAGACAAAGAACAGTTTGAAAGAACAGTCTGTTTCATGATTCACTGTCTAGTTCTAAATCTGTGTACACTGTAAAAGCACCACACACAACTTTTTTAAAAGATTTTTTTTTTCAGAATTTAACTTTTAGCTTCTGAAATTTGATGTCCTCCTGATCAATCCTGAGCTGCTTTACTCCAAAAAGTGGAGTAAACTGTGTGTGATAACTTTTGGATGCGGAGAAGAACACAGAACATGAGTTAACATTAGATTCTGACCAATCCTGTCGAAGTGTTGGGACTATAAAGTTATGCTGCTGTAAAAATGCGTACAGTGTCTCTCTTAATGGGGAGATGCTTCACCCTATTTCACCCACCCTGAAATTCACAAAACGTATCGCCCAAAACTCTACTCATAAAGCCACTGATCAAGCGGGCTCACAGACTCGGGAACACGCTCAACGGAGCGACCCAGGGACCCATTATGAAGCTTCTGAACTACACAGACAAAATACAGATCATGAGAGCTGCCAGATTGAAGGGTCCCATACTCCTGGACAATCAAAAAGTGCTGTTCTTCCCTGACATCTCTGCTGACCTGTGCAAGCGCCAGAAGGCTTTCGACCTTGTGAAAAATTACCTGGCTTCCCTGTTTATTCCGTTGCAGGATTGTGCAACCAGAAATCCTCCTGGTAACCTATAAGGGACGTCACTTATAAGTGTCACTCTTTCGATACGGGTTCGGATGCAGGAGAGTTTGTGAAAAGACTACAGCAACATGGAGACTGCGGGTGAATGAATCATAACGGTAATTACACCTCGAATAATGCTACTGTTGTTTGGCATGGGTTGTGCTGGGCAACAATAACATGTCATGTTGATGTCATGTTGGTCACAACAGCATTAGGACAACATTGGAATACTGTACAGACGTGTTTCAAACTTGACTTTGCTTAGTAGCTCAGTATAACAGCCTAATGTAAAGTATGGAGGGGCCCCACCTGTACAGTAAAGCAAGCTATTCCTCCAATGATAGTAGTTCAGGTGGACCAGCGTAGCTCTGTAGCTAAGCTTTGTTTTGAGCTTTCAGGATGTACGCATTATGGGATGTGTTGGTGCATCTCTGTTGGAGAAGTACACTCTGTTCTGTTTAGTCATGTTCTATTAGCAAAATATGGGGATATGTATTATTATTGTTTTTGTTTTGTTTTGTTTTTCTTGCCTTTCAGCCACCTTGTGTATACTCACCAAATGCATTAGCAAAGTAGGAACCCTCACTTATGGTTTCTGATCTCCATTTCACATCCTGGAATGTGAGACGGCTAAATAGACTTGTCAAGCTTAAACAGGTTATGAGTGGGCTTCGTCAGTTGGAAACCAAGGTAGTTTTTCTCCTGGAGACCCACTTGGTCCCAGACGATGTGGTTAGGGTAAGGAGGAGATGGCCTGGTTCTCTAAAATCCTCTAAAACTAAACCTTGTTTATGTATATGGGATTAATAATGACAATCCAAACTTCTTTAGACAACTGTTTTGACCCTGGCTGCTCTGCCTGGCCAATTTGCTAAGGGTGGGGATTTTAATTGTGTACTCCAACCAGAACTGGAGAGATCTACTGGAATTGATGCCCACATGCTTAAACTAGAAAATAACTATTACAGTGTATAAGAGAATTCAATCTTGTAGATGTATGGAGAGTTAACATCCTGACCGGCAAACTCATTCTAGTACACATCAGAGTTTCGCTAGAATTGATTATTACCTATCTCAGCAGATTTAGTAATTGTATTGAATTGTTGGTATGACAGTATCAGATCATGTCCGACCTCGTGTTTTCATATTTTGTACCACATTCCCCTCGGTGGCGCTTACAAACAGTTTGGCGTAGGGACCCCGGCTTCATAGAGCCTATTGGAGCACAAATAGATTTATATTTTGAAGCTAATACTGATCAGACATCTGCTTCTATGAGGTGGGAAGCCTTAAAGCCTTTTTAAGAGGGCAAATGATGATGATGATGAAGTTTTACTCCAAGCTCCAAATATTAATTACATAGAAAAGAAATGGAATACTTTGAAAAAAAATTTCTAAGAACTTGAGCCCTTCCCCTTCATTAATTATTATTAATTAATTCATGAATTAATTATTAAAACATAATGTTTTATCCACTGATAAGGCAACAAAAAGCCTATCCTATTATGAAAAGGGGCAGAGGGCTGGTAGAGACCAATTCTGCTCCTAAATAATGACCTTAAAATAAGAACTGCAGCCTCTATTCATTAGTCAATGTAACTTATGCTGTACATTTATGTTAAAGATAAACTGAGGCTTATTGTTGATCATTTCCTCATTGCTCGGTCTTGTGCAGAGTTGCGCGGCCGACAAATGCATGCACGTCACGGTTCTTTGTATGGTTCATCAATGGTGATAAATTATCCGAATGTTCCACGAGTTGCGGACAAGTCGGCACAACAGCAGTGAGGCTGTGGCTCCATCTCTCTGCCACTAGGCTACATCATAGACTGCATGGCTACACACATACACACACATACGCCTACGTTACGCATTCACATGCGCACTGAACCGCCTTCTTTAAGGGTAATTTTGGATTTTTTTCCTGAACTTTTAAATCATTACAAGATTTTTTTCTTTTTACATGTCTATTTACAGCATTTTATGTTGAAATTTATATTGTTGTAGGCAGTATGTTAACTAATTGGGAGAAACCCCATTTCGCAAAAATGGCATGATGCGTTATGATTTTGCTGCGAAGCTTCGACGGTGAGATTGACAGTCGAATCAGGCTCCACCCATCAAGCACTGAACCTTCGACTATGCAGGGTCAGCACCATAAAATAACCCATATCTCTAATGTATTAACATCTTAAAAATGACAATATTAAGTAAATTTTTGTATCTCTTACTATCACTCCCAGCCTCTCCACCTTCCTCCTTTTTTCAACTGCTTAAGAAAACTTCTCCAACTTTATTTGGCATAAAAAGTGCCCACGACTCAGGTTGTCCTTACTGTATCTACCATATGATCGAGGTGGTCTGCAACTTCCAAATCTCGCATGGTACTACTGGGCAGCGCAAATTAGGGCAAGTATGTTCTACTTTTGGAACCATCCTCTGGCTTGGGTTACACTGGAATCTTATTCGACTGTAGTGCCTTTGCCTTCATATTTACACTCAGCAGACACAAAAAGACTCCTTAAACTTACTAAAAATCACTTCATGAAAAATACAATACTGATTTGGCATAATGCTCTTGCCTATCTAGGTGAGAAAAAAACGCTTTTGACAACGATGACTTTAAATCAGGCAGAGTAGGTTTCACTAAAGTAAATAAACATTTTTTAAGTATCTCTAAATTTAAGAAGTTATATAAACAAGGTAATAGTAGTAGTTTGAGCCTTCCCCCTTTATGGACATTAGAAGACATCACGTTGAAAAATCTTCAAGCTAGGGGGCAAGTGCCTGTGTTATAAAATCTGTTCGTCAGTAAATCCAAGGAATCCTCAGAGAACATTTTGTGAGCATGGAATACAGATTTGGAAGATAAGGTAACTGAGGCAGAGTGGTCAAATCCTGTTCAATGTCCCAAACCCAAACTGTTAATACAAATACCAAATTGCTGCAATATAAATGGTTGAGTAGGCAGTACATTACGCCAGGCTACGTTATTTTAACCCCCAAATCCCTGATACATGTATTAAGTGTAACAGTCAGAAAAGTTCATTGTTGCACTGCATATGAGATTGTTCTCACATTAGTGAGTTTTGCAGGAAGGTGCTACATCTACATACATTATTGGCATAAGTTTACCTCTTAATCCCAAACTATGTATTCTGAACATTTATCTTGACAATTTTGTGATTTCAAAGAATAAATCCTCTTTACTTGCTGTCTGCATTTTGGAGGCTAAACGGTGCATCGGTCATTGGTACTCACAAGCTGTATCACCATGACAAGGAGAATATTTTTTTGGAGGCTTGACAGAGAGAATGTTCTTTGCATCTTTGACTGTGAAAAACTCACATTAATGGCTTAGAATACTTGAACAGCAGCCAACTTGAACAATATAAGGTCCAGCTTCTCAACTTGAACTGCCCCTGACCTGCCACACAATTGAGCATATATCGTTACCCATAAATTACAACAAAACAAATCAAGTTCCAGTACCACTGTAATGCACGATTATTTGAATTAATAACTGTTAAGTAATCTCTTACACCAACCTACTAGTTACTAGAAGCAATAATATTACAGTAACGTGTTACTGAGTAACTGCCCAACAAAGTTCCTGTAGTAATAAGTGAAATCTGAACACACAGATATTACACAGTCATATTATATATTTTCAGATTCAGCTGGACTTACACTTCACCTCCTATGTTGCAAAATCACAAATAAACGTCTATAGATAAATCCAGAGACCACAGTAAAAACACATTTCTTACAACTCCAGAACTTTCTTCAGTATCAAAGTAGTCCTGTGATAGTTATCTGCACATCTTTTGGTACATTGCAAACAGAAACTGCTAATAGCTAATTTAACATATCTTTAATGGCACCAATTTGACCAACTGTAAAGAAATATTGTTTAAAAGGCCAGCACCAGTACTTGGGATATTCTACCCCCTCTCACATCTTTATTTTAAGCATAGGCTGAAAAAAATATCCCACAGTATAACTCACTGAATGACGGCATGCCCTCAAACTTGACTAACTACAAGTTTTCTTTTCACTTATGAGGAAGGTGCTGACGTTTTTATATTTTTGGCGTCCTGGTAGCATTGTTACCTGCTTTCTTATCAGTACAACCTCACATAACACCACTTTCAAGAATGTATATCATCAGTCATTAATTTAAGTAATACATGTAGGCCTGTACATTTCTTCTGACTGATTTAGTAATGAGAAATCTTTGTGTTGTTTTCTCTCTTTAGTCAGGATGGCTTTACCAAAGGCAGTAGGATACATGGTTGTTCTTGTGGTTATATGCTACAGTCTGGAGGCTCAGGGATACACACAGTCTCTGGATTCCTCTGATTATGTCCTCCAAGTTGTTCTAAACATCTCTGACCTGGAGCACCTCCGAACGCTTTTGAACACATTCAGTCCTGTGCTCATCAACAACACTGTTGAAATTAACAGCATTGCCGCAACAACAGGTACAACTAAATCCACTCATTTGTTGCCATTGTTTGCCAAAAATAAATATCTTTTAACTTTACGAGTAAACATGTCATAAATCATTGATATTGTGTGCTGCTTCTTCTTCACATAGTGTGTTCACCAAATACGACTGGATACCAGTGCAGATGTGAGCCGAGTTTTGCTTGGTCATATAACAGCTGCATTGACTATGGAGCCTGTGATGCGATCATCGATGACACATGTGGATGCATTAATGGGCTTCCAGCTGACGGCCAGTACTGCCAGCTTAACACCAGTCTACCAGGTACTGTAGGCCCAGCACAACCAAAAGAGATTTAGATACATAATCTCATTGGACTCTGATGTGTATCACCTGGGAAAAAACCTACATGTTCATTCTGTGTTCATATTTCATCATAGTTACTTTGCAGATGAAGATTTTAAAAAACATATAATTAGCATGTAAAATACAATGCATTGTTACATTAAACATTACATTAAACCATCCAACAGTGTATAAAATTAGTAAAATTATCTCTACCACAGTTAAATACAATATTAAAATGCTTACATGTTAATGCATCAAAGCACTAAAGGTATAATATATAATTATGACTACTGACTGAGCCTTTCACTGGATAGGGAGTACTTTGACTCATATCTGAAGGGCATAGTGCTGTTGCAGAGAAATTCCAAAGTGAGGTATTATGGTGCTTATAGTATAATTTCCTCAAATACTGTACATAAGTTCATGTGTTTTGCTATTTTATAATACTTTATACTTCCACTACATTTATATTACAGCTATAGTTACTAGCAGATTCCTAAAGAAACTGCTCAAAAGTAAAAAGGGAACACTAAAATAACACATCCTAGATCTGAATGAATGAAATAATTTCATTAAATACTCCTTTCTTTACATAGTTGAATGTGCTGACAACAAACTCACACAAAAATTATCAATGGAAATCAAATATATCAACCCAAGGAGGTCTGGATTTGGAGTCACACTCAAAATCAAAGTGGAAAACCACACTACAGGCCGAACCAACTTTGATGTAATGTCCTTAAAACAAGTCAAAATGACACTCAGTAGTGTGTGTGGCCTCCACGTGCCTGTATGACCTCCCTACAACGCCTGGGCATGCTCCTGATGAGGTGGCGGATGGTCTCCTGAGGGATCTCCTCCCAGAACTGGACTAAAGCATCCGAAAAGTCATGAACAGTCTGTGGTGCAACGTGGTGTTGGTGGATGGAGCGAGACATGATGTCCCAGATGTGCTCAATTGGATTCAGGTCTGGGGAACAGGCGGGCCAGTCCATAGCATCAATGCCTTCCTCTTGCAGGAACTGCTGACACACTCCAGCCACATGAGGTCTAGCATTGTCTTGCATTAGGAGGAACCCAGGGCCAACCGCACCAGCATATGGTCTCACAAGGGGTCTGAGGATCTCATCTCGGTACCTAATGGTAGTCAGGCTACCTCTGCCGAGCACATGGAGGGCTGTGCGGCCCCCCAAAGAAATGCCACCCCACACCATTACTGACCCACCGCCAAACCGGTCCTGCTGGCGTATGTTGCAGGCAGCAGAACGTTTTCCACGGCGTCTCCAGACTCTGTCACGTCTGTCACATGTGCTCAGTGTGAACCTGCTTTCATCTGTGAAGAGCACAGGGCGCCAGTGGCGAATTTGCCAATCTTGGTGTTCTCTGGCAAATGCCAAACGTCCTGCACGGTGTTGGGCTGTAAGCACAACCCCCCGCCATTAAATTCCCAACCTAAAACATCTGTTTGTGGCTGTTCTACCATAGTGGGTAAATGCTTTTTAGTTAGTTTAGTTAATTAGAAGCTTATTTGTGTTACTATCCTGAACACAAAACAAGGAACCACCTGCTTCCTCATATTCTTTTGCATGACCTTAAATAAAGTTGGAATGAGGAACTTTTACATGTAAATGGAGGCATGCAAGTCCTTGCCAAACACATGCAGATTTAACTTTAATCAGATACCTGGTTTCAGCAAATACCTGAGGAAAAGAACATGTAGATAGATACAGTCTCTACCAGGTTTTCTAGTTTTGATTGAAAAGATTACACCTGTTTGGCTTCATTCCATAAAATGTTTTGCTTTGCATGGCTAAAGTACAGTAGACTCTTTAATTGTAAAGGAGCCAGCACTCCTGCACTCACTGACCCCAACTCATTCACCAGAGACCTGGGCCCGTATTTATCAACCTTCTCAGAATTACTCATAAGAACACTGCTAAGAACTGACTTAAGAGTAAAAAAATTCTTGGCTCTAAGCTGTGCTTAAAAGTTAGTTATCAAGCATCATTGTCCTAATTTGAATGAAGAGTAGGACTAAATCTTAAGTGTCAGTCATAGTGCTGATTTACGACACTTTGCTGTGCTGCAAACAGGATTTTGGATGATGACGTAGCCAAGGACCAATCACTGAATACATTTCCTTATTTAAAAATATTCTCAGATAAATTCACATTGAATGGTGAAATCCCTAAGAAATTAAAGATAAAAAAGTTAAAAAGCCCCATCAAATACACCTACTACTCCTGTATTGTCGGCTTTTTGCATGAACTGTGTTTGCTTCTGTCGGATTACGGGGGGTGTGGAGCTGTAGCCTAGTGCTATAATTGTTTCCATGACTATTCAGCTTATTGATGGTTGTGACAGCCAAAATCGTCAGCATTGCTGCGTTTGTCCTGTGGCAAATAAATGAAACGTCATCTCCACCTTCAATGTAACTGAGATGACGTCCCTCACCGTCTCGCTGATAAGGATTCTGTCTGACCCCGTCTTATTAACTGCGTGTCATCAAATAAGTCAGAAACATTTTTCCTCTTCTGAAAGATTTGTGCATGTCTCCACATTGCCATCACAAGCCCCTACTGGCAGCTCCTAACCACTTGAGAGACCTCTCGAGCTGTCTTAAATAACTGGGAGTGTGAGTGATTCTTAGCTTTTTTTTCCTAGGAAACTCAACAAACGTAACCTATTGGCCTCAGGTGAAGATACCAACGATGACTGTCGTCACAGCAACAAGGAACACTAACGAACCAGCGGTATCGATGACCCGGGCCAACGACCCCACTGAGGTTAAATAGCTGAGTTTCCCTGCAAGTCAGTCAGAACTGAAGAAGTCCTTTGGATGAGGGACGAAACGTCTTCCAGTATCTTCAACCAAGTCCAGTTGCCCTTGATTTTAACCTTCGTTGGATAACTATGACCTGGATGACTGAGAATCTTCATAGACATCTTGCTTATCATTTTGGGATGTACACCCACAGATTGGTACGGGAGTATGAAAGGACAGCCAGGAAAATTGCAGACTACAGGAACCATCTACGATTCAACCTGAGATGCCGACAACACAAACTTATTCCCAACAGCCTACACTTAGGCTCCACGGTAAAAGGACACAGAGCCGGAATAATCCTGGAGAAAGCACAACACCAGCTACTGAACGAGAGACTGAGACAGATACACTTCACAATTGAAGCCCTGAACAAAGAAATGGACAACATACACCACAAACTAGAAACATATCTGCCCAGTACAGCACTGGGAAAGGTCATGGACTTCATCAAGAAAGCACAGCTATCCCAGCACAACAAGAGCAAAGAAAGACAGACCCGGAAATTCCAAAACCTACAGTCCAGAGCGAGCTGCACCAACAGAACAGGAGAATTGTCTTGGAGGAGAAAGGACAACAACCCCACAACACTTGAAACAGACAACAGATGGGTGAAAAACCTCTCAGATAGGGAACTCACCCAACCAGAGAAAGACATTCTGGCCAAAGGATTAAACTTCGCCATTACACCACAGCAACTACCTATAGTAGACCTCATCACAGCCACAGAATCGGCCATTAGGAAAAACAAATTAACAGAAACAGAAGCGGAACAGCTCAGACTAAAGGTATCTGCAGCCCTTTCTAATGCGAAGGCCCCCCCTTCCAACCTCACCATCCAAGAAAGGAAGGCTGTGACATCTCTGAGCAAGGATCAAAACATCACTATCCTACCTGCTGACAAAGGAAGATGCACGGTAGTACTTAACACAGCTGACTACCAGAACAAAGTCAACACACTACTAATGGACACAAACACGTATGAGACACTGAGACGAGACCCAACCAGCGGATACAAGAAAAAAGCCACAGAATGTGTACAACAGTTACAGAAGGACAACACCGTCACCCGTGAACAATATTACCGTTTGTATCCTGGAGAAGCCATTCCTTGCATTTATGGACTACCCAAGATAAACAAAGAAGGAGCCCCACTCAGGCCGATTATCAGCAGCATTAACTCGGTCACCTACAACATTGCCAAACACATTTCTACCATCTTAGCTCCATTGGTGGGAAACATGCCTCACCATGTCCAAAACTCTATTGACTTTGTAAACAAAGTTCAAGGACTAAAACTGGATCCAGATGAAACCATGGTATCCTATGACGTGACTTCTTTGTTCACCTGCATCCCCACCATAGAGGCAGTAGAAACCGTTAGGACACGGCTAACACAAGAATACACCCTGGACAACAGAACTAGACTCAGCCCTGACCAAATCTGCAAATTACTCGACCTCTGTCTAAACACCACCTACTTCCAGTACAACGGTGGATTCTACAGACAGAAGCATGGCTGTGCCATGGGCTCACCGGTATCCCCAATTGTGGCAAACATCTACATGGAAGAAGTGGAGAATAAAGCCCTCAACTCCTTCAGAGGAATAGCACCGAGCCACTGGTACAGATATGTGGATGACACCTGGGTCAAAATTAAAAGCCAGGAAGTGCAAGCCTTCACAGAACACATCAACTCTGTGTACAGTAACATCAAGTTCACACGAGAAGATGTTCACAACAACAGTTTGGCCTTCCTGGACTGCGCTGTACACATTGAAGAGGACAGGAGCCTGCAGATTGGTGTTTACAGAAAACCCACACACACAGACCAATACCTACTGTTCGATTCCCACCACCCACTGGAGCACAAGCTAGGGGTCATGAGAACACTGCACCACAGAGCGGAAAACATACCAACAAGCGCCCAAGTCAGAGAGAAGGAACCACCTGAAGGGGGCACTTACAGCCTGTGGATACCCTAAATGGACCTTTGTGAAAACAGCCATATGATCCAAGAAGAACAAAACTACAGGGGAGGAGGAAAAGAAGGTCAAACGCAACAACATTGTGATTCCATACGTGTCTGGAGTATCAGAGAAACTCAGGAGGATTTTCAACAAACATAACATCCCTGTGTTTTTTAAACCCAAGAACACACTAAGACAGATGCTGGTACACCCCAAAGACCGCACACCCAAACACAAGAAAAGCAATCTAGTGTATGCGGTCCAATGCAGTGAGGAATGCACAGACCTGTATATTGGGGAGACTAAGCAACCACTACACAAACGAATGGCTCAACACAGAAGGACCAACTCCTCAGGTCAAGACTCTGCAGTCTACTTACATCTGAAGGACAGAGGACACTCGTTTGAGGACCACCAGGTGCACATTTTAGACAGAGAAGATGGATGGTTTGAAAGAGGTGTCAAGGAAGCCATCTACACCAGGGTTGAGAAGCCGTCATTGAACAGGGGAGGGGGTCTACGCCACCACGAAACGTCTTCCAGTATCTTCAACCAAGTCCAGTTGCCCTTTTAACCTTCGTTGGGTCTCTACAGACTGCAACTGTCCCCACCCTCTGGAAAACAGTCACCATCATCCCTCGCCCCTCTGAACTCAATAATTACAGACTAGTAGCACATACCTCCATAATAGCAAAATGTCTTGAGAAACTGGTACTGAACACAATCTTCCTAGTTTTCTGCCTATTGCATGATCAACAATAAATCTGTAACCTGTTTTTCACTTACAGAACACAACCCAGACTCTCAAACCAGTGTAACATTAACTAAATGAAACTGTAAGGTTAAATGATCAACAATAAACCTGTAACCTTTTTGCAGCCAACGTTAATAATTAACGTGATGGCAGCCAGCGGGATGATAAATTATTACGTTAATGGACCACCAAAAGTTTGGCAAGCAAAGAAACACTCATTCATCTTTTCATAACGAACGACAGTCGTAGTTAACCTCTCGTAGGTCGTAGCTAAAGCAAGAAGCAAGCTAACGTTAGATGGCCAATGCTGAGCTAAATATGTTTACTAACCTCAGGTTATTAACCTATTTTGCGTTCAGTGCTTCTTTGTTTGGGTATTGTTGTATGAAGATTTCGAGTCAAAGTTTATGATGAATGGCACAGCAGCTGACACCGGTGTTTGTTGTCCTCTCGCACGTGTGGCTACGCCCAGCTGATACTATGTGTTGCGTAAGCAGGTTATAGGTAACGGAGGGAGCGGAATAACAGCAAGCTCATCAGAGGTTTCCTAAAAATAAACATTGTTCACGAGTCCCGCACCTCGAGTCCAAGTCAAGTCTGAAGTCTTTTGAGGACGAGTCTCAAGTCGAGTCTGAAGTCACTGTGGTCACTTAAGCGTGATTCGAGTCCGAGTCTCAAACTCGAGTCCCCATCTCTGATGCCTCCTTTACACTCCTTCAACATCTGGATTCCCCTTGCTGTTATGCCAGAATTGTCTTTGTAGACTTAAGCTTCAATTAAGATTCAACACCACACCCTTATGATCACACAACCCACCATCTCCACATTCCACCTCTCCTCCTTTGCTGGATTCAAAATTGTCAGTGGCAGACCACAGGCAGTGAGGGTGGGAAGCACTAGATCCACCACCATCACTATCAACACCGGAGTTCCCCAGGGCTGTGTCCTCAGCCCCTTCCTATACACATTGTATACCAATGACTTCCTTAGCCTCTCCCCCATTAGAAAATACTTGATGACACAGCCTTACTCGCCCTACTCACCAACATGGAATCATTTACAGCATGTCACTAATCCGTTGCCCATTTCTCCCAATGGTGATGACAGTCACCTCCTCATCGTCACTCTCCACCCCAATGCCCCATCTACATCAATGACCAGCAAGTAGAACTTGACAGCTTCAGTTCTACATCTGGGACAATAAAATTTGTTTTGATCACCATGTCACAGTCAGATGCTGCCATCAAAGACTCTTGGTCATGGGTAAACTCAGGACTCTCTTAGACAAACCACACCTCCTGCTTCTCCTGGATCGTAGTAGCCACCCTCTCAACTCATGTTTCAACCCTCTCCCCTCAGGCCGCAGATACAGACAGCTGCTCTACAAAAGAAGCACGCCTTGTGAAAGAATGTATACAGTTTGTTTAGTGAGAAATTCATCATAATTTCATAATTGAATGTTATTCAAGCAACAGGGTCAGCTATAAAGGTTAATGAACAAGAAACATTGGCATCTACTTAATTCAAAAGGACTTTACTGCACATAATGAAAAGTGTTGTGAATATTGTTGTATATGCTGATGACAGACTCCTGTCATGGACTTTCTCCTGTTTTCTTCCACAGAAGTCGTTATATATGACATTGCTCTAGTCCTTGAATGGCGTATCCCAGTCTCCAGTGTGCCATCAGATTTCATTGAACTATTCAGGAACACTGTGAGAAAGGTCTTGCTCCCCTACACCATCACTCAGTCTTTAAATGTAACAGGCTTAAATTTCACCACAGGTAAGAACTGTTTCTTATTTTTTTACTTGTATGATCTGTTTGGCTGATTGAATTATCTTTTATCCAATGGTGTATGATTTATAAAGTATGACTTGAATTGTTTTGAATTGTCTTTAAAAGGGTGCTATCCAAACTCCACTGGAGGACTGCAGTGTCACTGTGAGGAGCAGTTTGCTTGGTCATGTGACCAGTGCAACATCTACGGTGCGTGCAGCAATGCCACCAGCCAAACCTGTGGGTGCATAAATGGACTTCCGTCTGATGGAGCGCTCTGTGAACCAATCACAAGTAAGCATTTCTGTTTAGTAGTAGTTCAAATAAAAGTTGTGCTAGAAAATTTACAAATGAATGTCTACTGTATCTGGCTTACTGTCCTACATGTGTTGACATACGCATGTTCATGTTGATTAGAATAGAAGTCATTTTGTTTTCCTAAGCAGATAAACAAGTTGTATTCATTTCATCTCCAATGTTGCCCCACAGATATCACACCGTGTCCAACCCCACCTCCTGGTATGTGAATATTTTTCTTTTTGTTGAATGGATACAATTTCAGAGTCTGAAGTAGTTGAAGATACTTTTTGGAAAATGAAAAATAATGTATTGATCTAAAAGAACATTTATTGACTCCAAGTGTTGCAGAATACTTAGATCGACTTAATTCAAAAGGACTTCACTACACATGATGAAAAGTGTTGTGAATATTGTTGTATATGCTGATGACAGACTCCTGTCATGGACTTTCACCTGTTTTCTTCCACAGAAGTCGTTATATATGACATTGCTCTAGTCCTTGAATGGCGTATCCCAGTCTCCAGTGTGCCATCAGATTTCATTGAACTATTCAGGAACACTGTGAGAAAGGTCTTGCTCCCCTACACCATCACTCAGTCTTTAAATGTAACAGGCTTAAATTTCACCACAGGTAAGAACTGTTTCTTATTTTTTTACTTGTATGATCTGTTTGGCTGATTGAATTATCTTTTATCCAATGGTGTATGATTTATAAAGTATGACTTGAATTGTTTTGAATTGTCTTTAAAAGGGTGCTATCCAAACTCCACTGGAGGACTGCAGTGTCACTGTGAGGAGCAGTTTGCTTGGTCATGTGACCAGTGCAACATCTACGGTGCGTGCAGCAATGCCACCAGCCAAACCTGTGGGTGCATAAATGGACTTCCGTCTGATGGAGCGCTCTGTGAACCAATCACAAGTAAGCATTTCTGTTTAGTAGTAGTTCAAATAAAAGTTGTGCTAGAAAATTTACAAATGAATGTCTACTGTATCTGGCTTACTGTCCTACATGTGTTGACATACGCATGTTCATGTTGATTAGAATAGAAGTCATTTTGTTTTCCTAAGCAGATAAACAAGTTGTATTCATTTCATCTCCAATGTTGCCCCACAGATATCACACCGTGTCCAACCCCACCTCCTGGTATGTGAATATTTTTCTTTTTGTTGAATGGATACAATTTCAGAGTCTGAAGTAGTTGAAGATACTTTTTGGAAAATGAAAAATAATGTATTGATCTAAAAGAACATTTATTGACTCCAAGTGTTGCAGAATACTTAGATCGACTTAATTCAAAAGGACTTCACTACACATGATGAAAAGTGTTGTGAATATTGTTGTATATGCTGATGACAGACTCCTGTCATGGACTTTCACCTGTTTTCTTCCACAGAAGTCGTTATATATGACATTGCTCTAGTCCTTGAATGGCGTATCCCAGTCTCCAGTGTGCCATCAGATTTCATTGAACTATTCAGGAACACTGTGAGAAAGGTCTTGCTCCCCTACACCATCACTCAGTCTTTAAATGTAACAGGCTTAAATTTCACCACAGGTAAGAACTGTTTCTTATTTTTTTACTTGTATGATCTGTTTGGCTGATTGAATTATCTTTTATCCAATGGTGTATGATTTATAAAGTATGACTTGAATTGTTTTGAATTGTCTTTAAAAGGGTGCTATCCAAACTCCACTGGAGGACTGCAGTGTCACTGTGAGGAGCAGTTTGCTTGGTCATGTGACCAGTGCAACATCTACGGTGCGTGCAGCAATGCCACCAGCCAAACCTGTGGGTGCATAAATGGACTTCCGTCTGATGGAGCGCTCTGTGAACCAATCACAAGTAAGCATTTCTGTTTAGTAGTAGTTCAAATAAAAGTTGTGCTAGAAAATTTACAAATGAATGTCTACTGTATCTGGCTTACTGTCCTACATGTGTTGACATACGCATGTTCATGTTGATTAGAATAGAAGTCATTTTGTTTTCCTAAGCAGATAAACAAGTTGTATTCATTTCATCTCCAATGTTGCCCCACAGATATCACACCGTGTCCAACCCCACCTCCTGGTATGTGAATATTTTTCTTTTTGTTGAATGGATACAATTTCAGAGTCTGAAGTAGTTGAAGATACTTTTTGGAAAATGAAAAATAATGTATTGATCTAAAAGAACATTTATTGACTCCAAGTGTTGCAGAATACTTAGATCGACTTAATTCAAAAGGACTTCACTACACATGATGAAAAGTGTTGTGAATATTGTTGTATATGCTGATGACAGACTCCTGTCATGGACTTTCACCTGTTTTCTTCCACAGAAGTCGTTATATATGACATTGCTCTAGTCCTTGAATGGCGTATCCCAGTCTCCAGTGTGCCATCAGATTTCATTGAACTATTCAGGAACACTGTGAGAAAGGTCTTGCTCCCCTACACCATCACTCAGTCTTTAAATGTAACAGGCTTAAATTTCACCACAGGTAAGAACTGTTTCTTATTTTTTTACTTGTATGATCTGTTTGGCTGATTGAATTATCTTTTATCCAATGGTGTATGATTTATAAAGTATGACTTGAATTGTTTTGAATTGTCTTTAAAAGGGTGCTATCCAAACTCCACTGGAGGACTGCAGTGTCACTGTGAGGAGCAGTTTGCTTGGTCATGTGACCAGTGCAACATCTACGGTGCGTGCAGCAATGCCACCAGCCAAACCTGTGGGTGCATAAATGGACTTCCGTCTGATGGAGCGCTCTGTGAACCAATCACAAGTAAGCATTTCTGTTTAGTAGTAGTTCAAATAAAAGTTGTGCTAGAAAATTTACAAATGAATGTCTACTGTATCTGGCTTACTGTCCTACATGTGTTGACATACGCATGTTCATGTTGATTAGAATAGAAGTCATTTTGTTTTCCTAAGCAGATAAACAAGTTGTATTCATTTCATCTCCAATGTTGCCCCACAGATATCACACCGTGTCCAACCCCACCTCCTGGTATGTGAATATTTTTCTTTTTGTTGAATGGATACAATTTCAGAGTCTGAAGTAGTTGAAGATACTTTTTGGAAAATGAAAAATAATGTATTGATCTAAAAGAACATTTATTGACTCCAAGTGTTGCAGAATACTTAGATCGACTTAATTCAAAAGGACTTCACTACACATGATGAAAAGTGTTGTGAATATTGTTGTATATGCTGATGACAGACTCCTGTCATGGACTTTCACCTGTTTTCTTCCACAGAAGTCGTTATATATGACATTGCTCTAGTCCTTGAATGGCGTATCCCAGTCTCCAGTGTGCCATCAGATTTCATTGAACTATTCAGGAACACTGTGAGAAAGGTCTTGCTCCCCTACACCATCACTCAGTCTTTAAATGTAACAGGCTTAAATTTCACCACAGGTAAGAACTGTTTCTTATTTTTTTACTTGTATGATCTGTTTGGCTGATTGAATTATCTTTTATCCAATGGTGTATGATTTATAAAGTATGACTTGAATTGTTTTGAATTGTCTTTAAAAGGGTGCTATCCAAACTCCACTGGAGGACTGCAGTGTCACTGTGAGGAGCAGTTTGCTTGGTCATGTGACCAGTGCAACATCTACGGTGCGTGCAGCAATGCCACCAGCCAAACCTGTGGGTGCATAAATGGACTTCCGTCTGATGGAGCGCTCTGTGAACCAATCACAAGTAAGCATTTCTGTTTAGTAGTAGTTCAAATAAAAGTTGTGCTAGAAAATTTACAAATGAATGTCTACTGTATCTGGCTTACTGTCCTACATGTGTTGACATACGCATGTTCATGTTGATTAGAATAGAAGTCATTTTGTTTTCCTAAGCAGATAAACAAGTTGTATTCATTTCATCTCCAATGTTGCCCCACAGATATCACACCGTGTCCAACCCCACCTCCTGGTATGTGAATATTTTTCTTTTTGTTGAATGGATACAATTTCAGAGTCTGAAGTAGTTGAAGATACTTTTGGAAAATGAAAAATAATGTATTGATCTAAAAGAACATTTATTGACTCCAAGTGTTGCAGAATACTTAGATCGACTTAATTCAAAAGGACTTCACTACACATGATGAAAAGTGTTGTGAATATTGTTGTATATGCTGATGACAGACTCCTGTCATGGACTTTCACCTGTTTTCTTCCACAGAAGTCGTTATATATGACATTGCTCTAGTCCTTGAATGGCGTATCCCAGTCTCCAGTGTGCCATCAGATTTCATTGAACTATTCAGGAACACTGTGAGAAAGGTCTTGCTCCCCTACACCATCACTCAGTCTTTAAATGTAACAGGCTTAAATTTCACCACAGGTAAGAACTGTTTCTTATTTTTTTACTTGTATGATCTGTTTGGCTGATTGAATTATCTTTTATCCAATGGTGTATGATTTATAAAGTATGACTTGAATTGTTTTGAATTGTCTTTAAAAGGGTGCTATCCAAACTCCACTGGAGGACTGCAGTGTCACTGTGAGGAGCAGTTTGCTTGGTCATGTGACCAGTGCAACATCTACGGTGCGTGCAGCAATGCCACCAGCCAAACCTGTGGGTGCATAAATGGACTTCCGTCTGATGGAGCGCTCTGTGAACCAATCACAAGTAAGCATTTCTGTTTAGTAGTAGTTCAAATAAAAGTTGTGCTAGAAAATTTACAAATGAATGTCTACTGTATCTGGCTTACTGTCCTACATGTGTTGACATACGCATGTTCATGTTGATTAGAATAGAAGTCATTTTGTTTTCCTAAGCAGATAAACAAGTTGTATTCATTTCATCTCCAATGTTGCCCCACAGATATCACACCGTGTCCAACCCCACCTCCTGGTATGTGAATATTTTTCTTTTTGTTGAATGGATACAATTTCAGAGTCTGAAGTAGTTGAAGATACTTTTGGAAAATGAAAAATAATGTATTGATCTAAAAGAACATTTATTGACTCCAAGTGTTGCAGAATACTTAGATCGACTTAATTCAAAAGGACTTCACTACACATGATGAAAAGTGTTGTGAATATTGTTGTATATGCTGATGACAGACTCCTGTCATGGACTTTCACCTGTTTTCTTCCACAGAAGTCGTTATATATGACATTGCTCTAGTCCTTGAATGGCGTATCCCAGTCTCCAGTGTGCCATCAGATTTCATTGAACTATTCAGGAACACTGTGAGAAAGGTCTTGCTCCCCTACACCATCACTCAGTCTTTAAATGTAACAGGCTTAAATTTCACCACAGGTAAGAACTGTTTCTTATTTTTTTACTTGTATGATCTGTTTGGCTGATTGAATTATCTTTTATCCAATGGTGTATGATTTATAAAGTATGACTTGAATTGTTTTGAATTGTCTTTAAAAGGGTGCTATCCAAACTCCACTGGAGGACTGCAGTGTCACTGTGAGGAGCAGTTTGCTTGGTCATGTGACCAGTGCAACATCTACGGTGCGTGCAGCAATGCCACCAGCCAAACCTGTGGGTGCATAAATGGACTTCCGTCTGATGGAGCGCTCTGTGAACCAATCACAAGTAAGCATTTCTGTTTAGTAGTAGTTCAAATAAAAGTTGTGCTAGAAAATTTACAAATGAATGTCTACTGTATCTGGCTTACTGTCCTACATGTGTTGACATACGCATGTTCATGTTGATTAGAATAGAAGTCATTTTGTTTTCCTAAGCAGATAAACAAGTTGTATTCATTTCATCTCCAATGTTGCCCCACAGATATCACACCGTGTCCAACCCCACCTCCTGGTATGTGAATATTTTTCTTTTTGTTGAATGGATACAATTTCAGAGTCTGAAGTAGTTGAAGATACTTTTGGAAAATGAAAAATAATGTATTGATCTAAAAGAACATTTATTGACTCCAAGTGTTGCAGAATACTTAGATCGACTTAATTCAAAAGGACTTCACTACACATGATGAAAAGTGTTGTGAATATTGTTGTATATGCTGATGACAGACTCCTGTCATGGACTTTCACCTGTTTTCTTCCACAGAAGTCGTTATATATGACATTGCTCTAGTCCTTGAATGGCGTATCCCAGTCTCCAGTGTGCCATCAGATTTCATTGAACTATTCAGGAACACTGTGAGAAAGGTCTTGCTCCCCTACACCATCACTCAGTCTTTAAATGTAACAGGCTTAAATTTCACCACAGGTAAGAACTGTTTCTTATTTTTTTACTTGTATGATCTGTTTGGCTGATTGAATTATCTTTTATCCAATGGTGTATGATTTATAAAGTATGACTTGAATTGTTTTGAATTGTCTTTAAAAGGGTGCTATCCAAACTCCACTGGAGGACTGCAGTGTCACTGTGAGGAGCAGTTTGCTTGGTCATGTGACCAGTGCAACATCTACGGTGCGTGCAGCAATGCCACCAGCCAAACCTGTGGGTGCATAAATGGACTTCCGTCTGATGGAGCGCTCTGTGAACCAATCACAAGTAAGCATTTCTGTTTAGTAGTAGTTCAAATAAAAGTTGTGCTAGAAAATTTACAAATGAATGTCTACTGTATCTGGCTTACTGTCCTACATGTGTTGACATACGCATGTTCATGTTGATTAGAATAGAAGTCATTTTGTTTTCCTAAGCAGATAAACAAGTTGTATTCATTTCATCTCCAATGTTGCCCCACAGATATCACACCGTGTCCAACCCCACCTCCTGGTATGTGAATATTTTTCTTTTTGTTGAATGGATACAATTTCAGAGTCTGAAGTAGTTGAAGATACTTTTTGGAAAATGAAAAATAATGTATTGATCTAAAAGAACATTTATTGACTCCAAGTGTTGCAGAATACTTAGATCGACTTAATTCAAAAGGACTTCACTACACATGATGAAAAGTGTTGTGAATATTGTTGTATATGCTGATGACAGACTCCTGTCATGGACTTTCACCTGTTTTCTTCCACAGAAGTCGTTATATATGACATTGCTCTAGTCCTTGAATGGCGTATCCCAGTCTCCAGTGTGCCATCAGATTTCATTGAACTATTCAGGAACACTGTGAGAAAGGTCTTGCTCCCCTACACCATCACTCAGTCTTTAAATGTAACAGGCTTAAATTTCACCACAGGTAAGAACTGTTTCTTATTTTTTTACTTGTATGATCTGTTTGGCTGATTGAATTATCTTTTATCCAATGGTGTATGATTTATAAAGTATGACTTGAATTGTTTTGAATTGTCTTTAAAAGGGTGCTATCCAAACTCCACTGGAGGACTGCAGTGTCACTGTGAGGAGCAGTTTGCTTGGTCATGTGACCAGTGCAACATCTACGGTGCGTGCAGCAATGCCACCAGCCAAACCTGTGGGTGCATAAATGGACTTCCGTCTGATGGAGCGCTCTGTGAACCAATCACAAGTAAGCATTTCTGTTTAGTAGTAGTTCAAATAAAAGTTGTGCTAGAAAATTTACAAATGAATGTCTACTGTATCTGGCTTACTGTCCTACATGTGTTGACATACGCATGTTCATGTTGATTAGAATAGAAGTCATTTTGTTTTCCTAAGCAGATAAACAAGTTGTATTCATTTCATCTCCAATGTTGCCCCACAGATATCACACCGTGTCCAACCCCACCTCCTGGTATGTGAATATTTTTCTTTTTGTTGAATGGATACAATTTCAGAGTCTGAAGTAGTTGAAGATACTTTTTGGAAAATGAAAAATAATGTATTGATCTAAAAGAACATTTATTGACTCCAAGTGTTGCAGAATACTTAGATCGACTTAATTCAAAAGGACTTCACTACACATGATGAAAAGTGTTGTGAATATTGTTGTATATGCTGATGACAGACTCCTGTCATGGACTTTCACCTGTTTTCTTCCACAGAAGTCGTTATATATGACATTGCTCTAGTCCTTGAATGGCGTATCCCAGTCTCCAGTGTGCCATCAGATTTCATTGAACTATTCAGGAACACTGTGAGAAAGGTCTTGCTCCCCTACACCATCACTCAGTCTTTAAATGTAACAGGCTTAAATTTCACCACAGGTAAGAACTGTTTCTTATTTTTTTACTTGTATGATCTGTTTGGCTGATTGAATTATCTTTTATCCAATGGTGTATGATTTATAAAGTATGACTTGAATTGTTTTGAATTGTCTTTAAAAGGGTGCTATCCAAACTCCACTGGAGGACTGCAGTGTCACTGTGAGGAGCAGTTTGCTTGGTCATGTGACCAGTGCAACATCTACGGTGCGTGCAGCAATGCCACCAGCCAAACCTGTGGGTGCATAAATGGACTTCCGTCTGATGGAGCGCTCTGTGAACCAATCACAAGTAAGCATTTCTGTTTAGTAGTAGTTCAAATAAAAGTTGTGCTAGAAAATTTACAAATGAATGTCTACTGTATCTGGCTTACTGTCCTACATGTGTTGACATACGCATGTTCATGTTGATTAGAATAGAAGTCATTTTGTTTTCCTAAGCAGATAAACAAGTTGTATTCATTTCATCTCCAATGTTGCCCCACAGATATCACACCGTGTCCAACCCCACCTCCTGGTATGTGAATATTTTTCTTTTTGTTGAATGGATACAATTTCAGAGTCTGAAGTAGTTGAAGATACTTTTGGAAAATGAAAAATAATGTATTGATCTAAAAGAACATTTATTGACTCCAAGTGTTGCAGAATACTTAGATCGACTTAATTCAAAAGGACTTCACTACACATGATGAAAAGTGTTGTGAATATTGTTGTATATGCTGATGACAGACTCCTGTCATGGACTTTCACCTGTTTTCTTCCACAGAAGTCGTTATATATGACATTGCTCTAGTCCTTGAATGGCGTATCCCAGTCTCCAGTGTGCCATCAGATTTCATTGAACTATTCAGGAACACTGTGAGAAAGGTCTTGCTCCCCTACACCATCACTCAGTCTTTAAATGTAACAGGCTTAAATTTCACCACAGGTAAGAACTGTTTCTTATTTTTTTACTTGTATGATCTGTTTGGCTGATTGAATTATCTTTTATCCAATGGTGTATGATTTATAAAGTATGACTTGAATTGTTTTGAATTGTCTTTAAAAGGGTGCTATCCAAACTCCACTGGAGGACTGCAGTGTCACTGTGAGGAGCAGTTTGCTTGGTCATGTGACCAGTGCAACATCTACGGTGCGTGCAGCAATGCCACCAGCCAAACCTGTGGGTGCATAAATGGACTTCCGTCTGATGGAGCGCTCTGTGAACCAATCACAAGTAAGCATTTCTGTTTAGTAGTAGTTCAAATAAAAGTTGTGCTAGAAAATTTACAAATGAATGTCTACTGTATCTGGCTTACTGTCCTACATGTGTTGACATACGCATGTTCATGTTGATTAGAATAGAAGTCATTTTGTTTTCCTAAGCAGATAAACAAGTTGTATTCATTTCATCTCCAATGTTGCCCCACAGATATCACACCGTGTCCAACCCCACCTCCTGGTATGTGAATATTTTTCTTTTTGTTGAATGGATACAATTTCAGAGTCTGAAGTAGTTGAAGATACTTTTTGGAAAATGAAAAATAATGTATTGATCTAAAAGAACATTTATTGACTCCAAGTGTTGCAGAATACTTAGATCGACTTAATTCAAAAGGACTTCACTACATGATGAAAAGTGTTGTGAATATTGTTGTATATGCTGATGACAGACTCCTGTCATGGACTTTCACCTGTTTTCTTCCACAGAAGTCGTTATATATGACATTGCTCTAGTCCTTGAATGGCGTATCCCAGTCTCCAGTGTGCCATCAGATTTCATTGAACTATTCAGGAACACTGTGAGAAAGGTCTTGCTCCCCTACACCATCACTCAGTCTTTAAATGTAACAGGCTTAAATTTCACCACAGGTAAGAACTGTTTCTTATTTTTTTACTTGTATGATCTGTTTGGCTGATTGAATTATCTTTTATCCAATGGTGTATGATTTATAAAGTATGACTTGAATTGTTTTGAATTGTCTTTAAAAGGGTGCTATCCAAACTCCACTGGAGGACTGCAGTGTCACTGTGAGGAGCAGTTTGCTTGGTCATGTGACCAGTGCAACATCTACGGTGCGTGCAGCAATGCCACCAGCCAAACCTGTGGGTGCATAAATGGACTTCCGTCTGATGGAGCGCTCTGTGAACCAATCACAAGTAAGCATTTCTGTTTAGTAGTAGTTCAAATAAAAGTTGTGCTAGAAAATTTACAAATGAATGTCTACTGTATCTGGCTTACTGTCCTACATGTGTTGACATACGCATGTTCATGTTGATTAGAATAGAAGTCATTTTGTTTTCCTAAGCAGATAAACAAGTTGTATTCATTTCATCTCCAATGTTGCCCCACAGATATCACACCGTGTCCAACCCCACCTCCTGGTATGTGAATATTTTTCTTTTTGTTGAATGGATACAATTTCAGAGTCTGAAGTAGTTGAAGATACTTTTTGGAAAATGAAAAATAATGTATTGATCTAAAAGAACATTTATTGACTCCAAGTGTTGCAGAATACTTAGATCGACTTAATTCAAAAGGACTTCACTACACATGATGAAAAGTGTTGTGAATATTGTTGTATATGCTGATGACAGACTCCTGTCATGGACTTTCACCTGTTTTCTTCCACAGAAGTCGTTATATATGACATTGCTCTAGTCCTTGAATGGCGTATCCCAGTCTCCAGTGTGCCATCAGATTTCATTGAACTATTCAGGAACACTGTGAGAAAGGTCTTGCTCCCCTACACCATCACTCAGTCTTTAAATGTAACAGGCTTAAATTTCACCACAGGTAAGAACTGTTTCTTATTTTTTTACTTGTATGATCTGTTTGGCTGATTGAATTATCTTTTATCCAATGGTGTATGATTTATAAAGTATGACTTGAATTGTTTTGAATTGTCTTTAAAAGGGTGCTATCCAAACTCCACTGGAGGACTGCAGTGTCACTGTGAGGAGCAGTTTGCTTGGTCATGTGACCAGTGCAACATCTACGGTGCGTGCAGCAATGCCACCAGCCAAACCTGTGGGTGCATAAATGGACTTCCGTCTGATGGAGCGCTCTGTGAACCAATCACAAGTAAGCATTTCTGTTTAGTAGTAGTTCAAATAAAAGTTGTGCTAGAAAATTTACAAATGAATGTCTACTGTATCTGGCTTACTGTCCTACATGTGTTGACATACGCATGTTCATGTTGATTAGAATAGAAGTCATTTTGTTTTCCTAAGCAGATAAACAAGTTGTATTCATTTCATCTCCAATGTTGCCCCACAGATATCACACCGTGTCCAACCCCACCTCCTGGTATGTGAATATTTTTCTTTTTGTTGAATGGATACAATTTCAGAGTCTGAAGTAGTTGAAGATACTTTTGGAAAATGAAAAATAATGTATTGATCTAAAAGAACATTTATTGACTCCAAGTGTTGCAGAATACTTAGATCGACTTAATTCAAAAGGACTTCACTACACATATGAAAAGTGTTGTGAATATTGTTGTATATGCTGATGACAGACTCCTGTCATGGACTTTCTCCTGTTTTCTTCCACAGAAGTCGTTATATATGACATTGCTCTAGTCCTTGAATGGCGTATCCCAGTCTCCAGTGTGCCATCAGATTTCATTGAACTATTCAGGAACACTGTGAGAAAGGTCTTGCTCCCCTACACCATCACTCAGTCTTTAAATGTAACAGGCTTAAATTTCACCACAGGTAAGAACTGTTTCTTATTTTTTTACTTGTATGATCTGTTTGGCTGATTGAATTATCTTTTATCCAATGGTGTATGATTTATAAGTATGACTTGAATTGTTTTGAATTGTCTTTAAAAGGGTGCTATCCAAACTCCACTGGAGGACTGCAGTGTCACTGTGAGGAGCAGTTTGCTTGGTCATGTGACCAGTGCAACATCTACGGTGCGTGCAGCAATGCCACCAGCCAAACCTGTGGGTGCATAAATGGACTTCCGTCTGATGGAGCGCTCTGTGAACCAATCACAAGTAAGCATTTCTGTTTAGTAGTAGTTCAAATAAAAGTTGTGCTAGAAAATTTACAAATGAATATCTACTGTATCTGGCTGACTGTCCTACATGTGTTGACATACGCATGTTCATGTTGATTAGAATAGAAGTCATTTTGTTTTCCTAAGCAGATAAACAAGTTGTATTCATTTCATCTCCAATGTTGCCCCACAGATATCACACCGTGTCCAACCCCACCTCCTGGTATGTGAATATTTTTCTTTTTGTTGAATGGATACAATTTCAGAGTCTGAAGTAGTTGAAGATACTTTTGGAAAATGAAAAATAATGTATTGATCTAAAAGAACATTTATTGACTCCAAGTGTTGCAGAATACTTAGATCGACTTAATTCAAAAGGACTTCACTACATAGTGAAAAGTGTTGTGAATATTGTTGTATATGCTGATGACAGACTCCTGTCATGGACTTTCTCCTGTTTTCTTCCACAGAAGTCGTTATATATGACATTGCTCTAGTCCTTGAATGGCGTATCCCAGTCTCCAGTGTGCCATCAGATTTCATTGAACTATTCAGGAACACTGTGAGAAAGGTCTTGCTCCCCTACACCATCACTCAGTCTTTAAATGTAACAGGCTTAAATTTCACCACAGGTAAGAACTGTTTCTTATTTTTTTACTTGTATGATCTGTTTGGCTGATTGAATTATCTTTTATCCAATGGTGTATGATTTATAAAGTATGACTTGAATTGTTTTGAATTGTCTTTAAAAGGGTGCTATCCAAACTCCACTGGAGGACTGCAGTGTCACTGTGAGGAGCAGTTTGCTTGGTCATGTGACCAGTGCAACATCTACGGTGCGTGCAGCAATGCCACCAGCCAAACCTGTGGGTGCATAAATGGACTTCCGTCTGATGGAGCGCTCTGTGAACCAATCACAAGTAAGCATTTCTGTTTAGTAGTAGTTCAAATAAAAGTTGTGCTAGAAAATTTACAAATGAATGTCTACTGTATCTGGCTGACTGTCCTACATGTGTTGACATACGCATGTTCATGTTGATTAGAATAGAAGTCATTTTGTTTTCCTAAGCAGATAAACAAGTTGTATTCATTTCATCTCCAATGTTGCCCCACAGATATCACACCGTGTCCAACCCCACCTCCTGGTATGTGAATTTTTCTTTTTGTTGAATGGATACAATTTCAGAGTCTGAAGTAGTTGAAGATACTTTTTGGAAAATGAAAAATAATGTATTGATCTAAAAGAACATTTATTGACTCCAAGTGTTGCAGAATACTTAGATCGACTTAATTCAAAAGGACTTCACTACATATGAAAAGTGTTGTGAATATTGTTGTATATGCTGATGACAGACTCCTGTCATGGACTTTCTCCTGTTTTCTTCCACAGAAGTCGTTATATATGACATTGCTCTAGTCCTTGAATGGCGTATCCCAGTCTCCAGTGTGCCATCAGATTTCATTGAACTATTCAGGAACACTGTGAGAAAGGTCTTGCTCCCCTACACCATCACTCAGTCTTTAAATGTAACAGGCTTAAATTTCACCACAGGTAAGAACTGTTTCTTATTTTTTTACTTGTATGATCTGTTTGGCTGATTGAATTATCTTTTATCCAATGGTGTATGATTTATAAGTATGACTTGAATTGTTTTGAATTGTCTTTAAAAGGGTGCTATCCAAACTCCACTGGAGGACTGCAGTGTCACTGTGAGGAGCAGTTTGCTTGGTCATGTGACCAGTGCAACATCTACGGTGCGTGCAGCAATGCCACCAGCCAAACCTGTGGGTGCATAAATGGACTTCCGTCTGATGGAGCGCTCTGTGAACCAATCACAAGTAAGCATTTCTGTTTAGTAGTTCAAATAAAAGTTGTGCTAGAAAATTTACAAATGAATATCTACTGTATCTGGCTGACTGTCCTACATGTGTTGACATACGCATGTTCATGTTGATTAGAATAGAAGTCATTTTGTTTTCCTAAGCAGATAAACAAGTTGTATTCATTTCATCTCCAATGTTGCCCCACAGATATCACACCGTGTCCAACCCCACCTCCTGGTATGTGAACATTTTTGCTTTTTGTTGAATGGATACAGTTTCAGAGTCTGAAGTAGTTGAAGATACTTTTGGAAAATGAAAAATAATGTATTGATCTAAAAGAACATTTATTGACTCCAAGTGTTGCAGAATACTTAGATCGACTTAATTCAAAAGGACTTCACTACACATATGAAAAGTGTTGTGAATATTGTTGTATATGCTGATGACAGACTCCTGTCATGGACTTTCTCCTGTTTTCTTCCACAGAAGTCGTTATATATGACATTGCTCTAGTCCTTGAATGGCGTATCCCAGTCTCCAGTGTGCCATCAGATTTCATTGAACTATTCAGGAACACTGTGAGAAAGGTCTTGCTCCCCTACACCATCACTCAGTCTTTAAATGTAACAGGCTTAAATTTCACCACAGGTAAGAACTGTTTCTTATTTTTTTACTTGTATGATCTGTTTGGCTGATTGAATTATCTTTTATCCAATGGTGTATGATTTATAAGTATGACTTGAATTGTTTTGAATTGTCTTTAAAAGGGTGCTATCCAAACTCCACTGGAGGACTGCAGTGTCACTGTGAGGAGCAGTTTGCTTGGTCATGTGACCAGTGCAACATCTACGGTGCGTGCAGCAATGCCACCAGCCAAACCTGTGGGTGCATAAATGGACTTCCGTCTGATGGAGCGCTCTGTGAACCAATCACAAGTAAGCATTTCTGTTTAGTAGTAGTTCAAATAAAAGTTGTGCTAGAAAATTTACAAATGAATATCTACTGTATCTGGCTGACTGTCCTACATGTGTTGACATACGCATGTTCATGTTGATTAGAATAGAAGTCATTTTGTTTTCCTAAGCAGATAAACAAGTTGTATTCATTTCATCTCCAATGTTGCCCCACAGATATCACACCGTGTCCAACCCCACCTCCTGGTATGTGAACATTTTTGCTTTTTGTTGAATGGATACAGTTTCAGAGTCTGAAGTAGTTGAAGATACTTTTGGAAAATGAAAAATAATGTATTGATCTAAAAGAACATTTATTGACTCCAAGTGTTGCAGAATACTTAGATCGACTTAATTCAAAAGGACTTCACATAGTGAAAAGTGTTGTGAATATTGTTGTATATGCTGATGACAGACTCCTGTCATGGACTTTCTCCTGTTTTCTTCCACAGAAGTCGTTATATATGACATTGCTCTAGTCCTTGAATGGCGTATCCCAGTCTCCAGTGTGCCATCAGATTTCATTGAACTATTCAGGAACACTGTGAGAAAGGTCTTGCTCCCCTACACCATCACTCAGTCTTTAAATGTAACAGGCTTAAATTTCACCACAGGTAAGAACTGTTTCTTATTTTTTTACTTGTATGATCTGTTTGGCTGATTGAATTATCTTTTATCCAATGGTGTATGATTTATAAGTATGACTTGAATTGTTTTGAATTGTCTTTAAAAGGGTGCTATCCAAACTCCACTGGAGGACTGCAGTGTCACTGTGAGGAGCAGTTTGCTTGGTCATGTGACCAGTGCAACATCTACGGTGCGTGCAGCAATGCCACCAGCCAAACCTGTGGGTGCATAAATGGACTTCCGTCTGATGGAGCGCTCTGTGAACCAATCACAAGTAAGCATTTCTGTTTAGTAGCAGTTCAAATAAAAGTTGTGCTAGAAAATTTACAAATGAATATCTACTGTATCTGGCTGACTGTCCTACATGTGTTGACATACGCATGTTCATGTTGATTAGAATAGAAGTCATTTTGTTTTCCTAAGCAGATAAACAAGTTGTATTCATTTCATCTCCAATGTTGCCCCACAGATATCACACCGTGTCCAACCCCACCTCCTGGTATGTGAACATTTTTGCTTTTTGTTGAATGGATACAGTTTCAGAGTCTGAAGTAGTTGAAGATACTTTTGGAAAATGAAAAATAATGTATTGATCTAAAAGAACATTTATTGACTCCAAGTGTTGCAGAATACTTAGATCGACTTAATTCAAAAGGACTTCACATAGTGAAAAGTGTTGTGAATATTGTTGTATATGCTGATGACAGACTCCTGTCATGGACTTTCTCCTGTTTTCTTCCACAGAAGTCGTTATATATGACATTGCTCTAGTCCTTGAATGGCGTATCCCAGTCTCCAGTGTGCCATCAGATTTCATTGAACTATTCAGGAACACTGTGAGAAAGGTCTTGCTCCCCTACACCATCACTCAGTCTTTAAATGTAACAGGCTTAAATTTCACCACAGGTAAGAACTGTTTCTTATTTTTTTACTTGTATGATCTGTTTGGCTGATTGAATTATCTTTTATCCAATGGTGTATGATTTATAGTATGACTTGAATTGTTTTGAATTGTCTTTAAAAGGGTGCTATCCAAACTCCACTGGAGGACTGCAGTGTCACTGTGAGGAGCAGTTTGCTTGGTCATGTGACCAGTGCAACATCTACGGTGCGTGCAGCAATGCCACCAGCCAAACCTGTGGGTGCATAAATGGACTTCCGTCTGATGGAGCGCTCTGTGAACCAATCACAAGTAAGCATTTCTGTTTAGTAGCAGTTCAAATAAAAGTTGTGCTAGAAAATTTACAAATGAATATCTACTGTATCTGGCTGACTGTCCTACATGTGTTGACATACGCATGTTCATGTTGATTAGAATAGAAGTCATTTTGTTTTCCTAAGCAGATAAACAAGTTGTATTCATTTCATCTCCAATGTTGCCCCACAGATATCACACCGTGTCCAACCCCACCTCCTGGTATGTGAACATTTTTGCTTTTTGTTGAATGGATACAGTTTCAAAGAGTCTGAAGTAGTTGAAGATACTTTTGGAAAATGAAAAATAATGTATTGATCTAAAAGAACATTTATTGACTCCAAGTGTTGCAGAATACTTAGATCGACTTAATTCAAAAGGACTTCACATAGTGAAAAGTGTTGTGAATATTGTTGTATATGCTGATGACAGACTCCTGTCATGGACTTTCTCCTGTTTTCTTCCACAGAAGTCGTTATATATGACATTGCTCTAGTCCTTGAATGGCGTATCCCAGTCTCCAGTGTGCCATCAGATTTCATTGAACTATTCAGGAACACTGTGAGAAAGGTCTTGCTCCCCTACACCATCACTCAGTCTTTAAATGTAACAGGCTTAAATTTCACCACAGGTAAGAACTGTTTCTTATTTTTTTACTTGTATGATCTGTTTGGCTGATTGAATTATCTTTTATCCAATGGTGTATGATTTATAAGTATGACTTGAATTGTTTTGAATTGTCTTTAAAAGGGTGCTATCCAAACTCCACTGGAGGACTGCAGTGTCACTGTGAGGAGCAGTTTGCTTGGTCATGTGACCAGTGCAACATCTACGGTGCGTGCAGCAATGCCACCAGCCAAACCTGTGGGTGCATAAATGGACTTCCGTCTGATGGAGCGCTCTGTGAACCAATCACAAGTAAGCATTTCTGTTTAGTAGCAGTTCAAATAAAAGTTGTGCTAGAAAATTTACAAATGAATATCTACTGTATCTGGCTGACTGTCCTACATGTGTTGACATACGCATGTTCATGTTGATTAGAATAGAAGTCATTTTGTTTTCCTAAGCAGATAAACAAGTTGTATTCATTTCATCTCCAATGTTGCCCCACAGATATCACACCGTGTCCAACCCCACCTCCTGGTATGTGAACATTTTTGCTTTTTGTAATGGATACAGTTTCAAAGAGTCTGAAGTAGTTGAAGATACTTTTGGAAAATGAAAAATAATGTATTGATCTAAAAGAACATTTATTGACTCCAAGTGTTGCAGAATACTTAGATCGACTTAATTCAAAAGGACTTCACACATAGTGAAAAGTGTTGTGAATATTGTTGTATATGCTGATGACAGACTCCTGTCATGGACTTTCTCCTGTTTTCTTCCACAGAAGTCGTTATATATGACATTGCTCTAGTCCTTGAATGGCGTATCCCAGTCTCCAGTGTGCCATCAGATTTCATTGAACTATTCAGGAACACTGTGAGAAAGGTCTTGCTCCCCTACACCATCACTCAGTCTTTAAATGTAACAGGCTTAAATTTCACCACAGGTAAGAACTGTTTCTTATTTTTTTACTTGTATGATCTGTTTGGCTGATTGAATTATCTTTTATCCAATGGTGTATGATTTATAGTATGACTTGAATTGTTTTGAATTGTCTTTAAAAGGGTGCTATCCAAACTCCACTGGAGGACTGCAGTGTCACTGTGAGGAGCAGTTTGCTTGGTCATGTGACCAGTGCAACATCTACGGTGCGTGCAGCAATGCCACCAGCCAAACCTGTGGGTGCATAAATGGACTTCCGTCTGATGGAGCGCTCTGTGAACCAATCACAAGTAAGCATTTCTGTTTAGTAGCAGTTCAAATAAAAGTTGTGCTAGAAAATTTACAAATGAATATCTACTGTATCTGCTGACTTCCTACATGTGTTGACATACGCATGTTCATGTTGATTAGAATAGAAGTCATTTTGTTTTCCTAAGCAGATAAACAAGTTGTATTCATTTCATCTCCAATGTTGCCCCACAGATATCACACCGTGTCCAACCCCACCTCCTGGTATGTGAACATTTTTGCTTTTTGTTGAATGGATACAGTTTCAAAGAGTCTGAAGTAGTTGAAGATACTTTTGGAAAATGAAAAATAATGTATTGATCTAAAAGAACATTTATTGACTCCAAGTGTTGCAGAATACTTAGATCGACTTAATTCAAAAGGACTTCACATAGTGAAAAGTGTTGTGAATATTGTTGTATATGCTGATGACAGACTCCTGTCATGGACTTTCTCCTGTTTTCTTCCACAGAAGTCGTTATATATGACATTGCTCTAGTCCTTGAATGGCGTATCCCAGTCTCCAGTGTGCCATCAGATTTCATTGAACTATTCAGGAACACTGTGAGAAAGGTCTTGCTCCCCTACACCATCACTCAGTCTTTAAATGTAACAGGCTTAAATTTCACCACAGGTAAGAACTGTTTCTTATTTTTTTACTTGTATGATCTGTTTGGCTGATTGAATTATCTTTTATCCAATGGTGTATGATTTATAAGTATGACTTGAATTGTTTTGAATTGTCTTTAAAAGGGTGCTATCCAAACTCCACTGGAGGACTGCAGTGTCACTGTGAGGAGCAGTTTGCTTGGTCATGTGACCAGTGCAACATCTACGGTGCGTGCAGCAATGCCACCAGCCAAACCTGTGGGTGCATAAATGGACTTCCGTCTGATGGAGCGCTCTGTGAACCAATCACAAGTAAGCATTTCTGTTTAGTAGCAGTTCAAATAAAAGTTGTGCTAGAAAATTTACAAATGAATATCTACTGTATCTGGCTGACTGTCCTACATGTGTTGACATACGCATGTTCATGTTGATTAGAATAGAAGTCATTTTGTTTTCCTAAGCAGATAAACAAGTTGTATTCATTTCATCTCCAATGTTGCCCCACAGATATCACACCGTGTCCAACCCCACCTCCTGGTATGTGAACATTTTTGCTTTTTGTTGAATGGATACAGTTTCAAAGAGTCTGAAGTAGTTGAAGATACTTTTGGAAAATGAAAAATAATGTATTGATCTAAAAGAACATTTATTGACTCCAAGTGTTGCAGAATACTTAGATCGACTTAATTCAAAAGGACTTCACATAGTGAAAAGTGTTGTGAATATTGTTGTATATGCTGATGACAGACTCCTGTCATGGACTTTCTCCTGTTTTCTTCCACAGAAGTCGTTATATATGACATTGCTCTAGTCCTTGAATGGCGTATCCCAGTCTCCAGTGTGCCATCAGATTTCATTGAACTATTCAGGAACACTGTGAGAAAGGTCTTGCTCCCCTACACCATCACTCAGTCTTTAAATGTAACAGGCTTAAATTTCACCACAGGTAAGAACTGTTTCTTATTTTTTTACTTGTATGATCTGTTTGGCTGATTGAATTATCTTTTATCCAATGGTGTATGATTTATAAGTATGACTTGAATTGTTTTGAATTGTCTTTAAAAGGGTGCTATCCAAACTCCACTGGAGGACTGCAGTGTCACTGTGAGGAGCAGTTTGCTTGGTCATGTGACCAGTGCAACATCTACGGTGCGTGCAGCAATGCCACCAGCCAAACCTGTGGGTGCATAAATGGACTTCCGTCTGATGGAGCGCTCTGTGAACCAATCACAAGTAAGCATTTCTGTTTAGTAGCAGTTCAAATAAAAGTTGTGCTAGAAAATTTACAAATGAATATCTACTGTATCTGGCTGACTGTCCTACATGTGTTGACATACGCATGTTCATGTTGATTAGAATAGAAGTCATTTTGTTTTCCTAAGCAGATAAACAAGTTGTATTCATTTCATCTCCAATGTTGCCCCACAGATATCACACCGTGTCCAACCCCACCTCCTGGTATGTGAACATTTTTGCTTTTTGTTGAATGGATACAGTTTCAAAGAGTCTGAAGTAGTTGAAGATACTTTTGGAAAATGAAAAATAATGTATTGATCTAAAAGAACATTTATTGACTCCAAGTGTTGCAGAATACTTAGATCGACTTAATTCAAAAGGACTTCACATAGTGAAAAGTGTTGTGAATATTGTTGTATATGCTGATGACAGACTCCTGTCATGGACTTTCTCCTGTTTTCTTCCACAGAAGTCGTTATATATGACATTGCTCTAGTCCTTGAATGGCGTATCCCAGTCTCCAGTGTGCCATCAGATTTCATTGAACTATTCAGGAACACTGTGAGAAAGGTCTTGCTCCCCTACACCATCACTCAGTCTTTAAATGTAACAGGCTTAAATTTCACCACAGGTAAGAACTGTTTCTTATTTTTTTACTTGTATGATCTGTTTGGCTGATTGAATTATCTTTTATCCAATGGTGTATGATTTATATAGTATGACTTGAATTGTTTTGAATTGTCTTTAAAAGGGTGCTATCCAAACTCCACTGGAGGACTGCAGTGTCACTGTGAGGAGCAGTTTGCTTGGTCATGTGACCAGTGCAACATCTACGGTGCGTGCAGCAATGCCACCAGCCAAACCTGTGGGTGCATAAATGGACTTCCGTCTGATGGAGCGCTCTGTGAACCAATCACAAGTAAGCATTTCTGTTAGTAGCAGTTCAAATAAAAGTTGTGCTAGAAAATTTACAAATGAATATCTACTGTATCTGCTGACTGTCCTACATGTGTTGACATACGCATGTTCATGTTGATTAGAATAGAAGTCATTTTGTTTTCCTAAGCAGATAAACAAGTTGTATTCATTTCATCTCCAATGTTGCCCCACAGATATCACACCGTGTCCAACCCCACCTCCTGGTATGTGAACATTTTTGCTTTTTGTGAATGGATACAGTTTCAAAGAGTCTGAAGTAGTTGAAGATACTTGTTGGAAAATGAAAAATAATGTATTGATCTAAAAGAACATTTATTGACTCCAAGTGTTGCAGAATACTTAGATCGACTTAATTCAAAAGGACTTCACTGCACATAGTGAAAAGTGTTGTGAATATTGTTGTATATGCTGATGACAGACTCCTGTCATGGACTTTCTCCTGTTTTCTTCCACAGAAGTCGTTATATATGACATTGCTCTAGTCCTTGAATGGCGTATCCCAGTCTCCAGTGTGCCATCAGATTTCATTGAACTATTCAGGAACACTGTGAGAAAGGTCTTGCTCCCCTACACCATCACTCAGTCTTTAAATGTAACAGGCTTAAATTTCACCACAGGTAAGAACTGTTTCTTATTTTTTTACTTGTATGATCTGTTTGGCTGATTGAATTATCTTTTATCCAATGGTGTATGATTTATAGTATGACTTGAATTGTTTTGAATTGTCTTTAAAAGGGTGCTATCCAAACTCCACTGGAGGACTGCAGTGTCACTGTGAGGAGCAGTTTGCTTGGTCATGTGACCAGTGCAACATCTACGGTGCGTGCAGCAATGCCACCAGCCAAACCTGTGGGTGCATAAATGGACTTCCGTCTGATGGAGCGCTCTGTGAACCAATCACAAGTAAGCATTTCTGTTTAGTAGCAGTTCAAATAAAAGTTGTGCTAGAAAATTTACAAATGAATATCTACTGTATCTGGCTGACTGTCCTACATGTGTTGACATACGCATGTTCATGTTGATTAGAATAGAAGTCATTTTGTTTTCCTAAGCAGATAAACAAGTTGTATTCATTTCATCTCCAATGTTGCCCCACAGATATCACACCGTGTCCAACCCCACCTCCTGGTATGTGAACATTTTTGCTTTTTGTTGAATGGATACAGTTTCAAAGAGTCTGAAGTAGTTGAAGATACTTTTGGAAAATGAAAAATAATGTATTGATCTAAAAGAACATTTATTGACTCCAAGTGTTGCAGAATACTTAGATCGACTTAATTCAAAAGGACTTCACATAGTGAAAAGTGTTGTGAATATTGTTGTATATGCTGATGACAGACTCCTGTCATGGACTTTCTCCTGTTTTCTTCCACAGAAGTCGTTATATATGACATTGCTCTAGTCCTTGAATGGCGTATCCCAGTCTCCAGTGTGCCATCAGATTTCATTGAACTATTCAGGAACACTGTGAGAAAGGTCTTGCTCCCCTACACCATCACTCAGTCTTTAAATGTAACAGGCTTAAATTTCACCACAGGTAAGAACTGTTTCTTATTTTTTTACTTGTATGATCTGTTTGGCTGATTGAATTATCTTTTATCCAATGGTGTATGATTTATATAGTATGACTTGAATTGTTTTGAATTGTCTTTAAAAGGGTGCTATCCAAACTCCACTGGAGGACTGCAGTGTCACTGTGAGGAGCAGTTTGCTTGGTCATGTGACCAGTGCAACATCTACGGTGCGTGCAGCAATGCCACCAGCCAAACCTGTGGGTGCATAAATGGACTTCCGTCTGATGGAGCGCTCTGTGAACCAATCACAAGTAAGCATTTCTGTTTAGTAGCAGTTCAAATAAAAGTTGTGCTAGAAAATTTACAAATGAATATCTACTGTATCTGCTGACTGTCCTACATGTGTTGACATACGCATGTTCATGTTGATTAGAATAGAAGTCATTTTGTTTTCCTAAGCAGATAAACAAGTTGTATTCATTTCATCTCCAATGTTGCCCCACAGATATCACACCGTGTCCAACCCCACCTCCTGGTATGTGAACATTTTTGCTTTTTGTGAATGGATACAGTTTCAAAGAGTCTGAAGTAGTTGAAGATACTTTTGGAAAATGAAAAATAATGTATTGATCTAAAAGAACATTTATTGACTCCAAGTGTTGCAGAATACTTAGATCGACTTAATTCAAAAGGACTTCACTGCACATAGTGAAAAGTGTTGTGAATATTGTTGTATATGCTGATGACAGACTCCTGTCATGGACTTTCTCCTGTTTTCTTCCACAGAAGTCGTTATATATGACATTGCTCTAGTCCTTGAATGGCGTATCCCAGTCTCCAGTGTGCCATCAGATTTCATTGAACTATTCAGGAACACTGTGAGAAAGGTCTTGCTCCCCTACACCATCACTCAGTCTTTAAATGTAACAGGCTTAAATTTCACCACAGGTAAGAACTGTTTCTTATTTTTTTACTTGTATGATCTGTTTGGCTGATTGAATTATCTTTTATCCAATGGTGTATGATTTATATAGTATGACTTGAATTGTTTTGAATTGTCTTTAAAAGGGTGCTATCCAAACTCCACTGGAGGACTGCAGTGTCACTGTGAGGAGCAGTTTGCTTGGTCATGTGACCAGTGCAACATCTACGGTGCGTGCAGCAATGCCACCAGCCAAACCTGTGGGTGCATAAATGGACTTCCGTCTGATGGAGCGCTCTGTGAACCAATCACAAGTAAGCATTTCTGTTTAGTAGCAGTTCAAATAAAAGTTGTGCTAGAAAATTTACAAATGAATATCTACTGTATCTGCTGACTGTCCTACATGTGTTGACATACGCATGTTCATGTTGATTAGAATAGAAGTCATTTTGTTTTCCTAAGCAGATAAACAAGTTGTATTCATTTCATCTCCAATGTTGCCCCACAGATATCACACCGTGTCCAACCCCACCTCCTGGTATGTGAACATTTTTGCTTTTTGTTGAATGGATACAGTTTCAAAGAGTCTGAAGTAGTTGAAGATACTTTTGGAAAATGAAAAATAATGTATTGATCTAAAAGAACATTTATTGACTCCAAGTGTTGCAGAATACTTAGATCGACTTAATTCAAAAGGACTTCACATAGTGAAAAGTGTTGTGAATATTGTTGTATATGCTGATGACAGACTCCTGTCATGGACTTTCTCCTGTTTTCTTCCACAGAAGTCGTTATATATGACATTGCTCTAGTCCTTGAATGGCGTATCCCAGTCTCCAGTGTGCCATCAGATTTCATTGAACTATTCAGGAACACTGTGAGAAAGGTCTTGCTCCCCTACACCATCACTCAGTCTTTAAATGTAACAGGCTTAAATTTCACCACAGGTAAGAACTGTTTCTTATTTTTTACTTGTATGATCTGTTTGGCTGATTGAATTATCTTTTATCCAATGGTGTATGATTTATATAGTATGACTTGAATTGTTTTGAATTGTCTTTAAAAGGGTGCTATCCAAACTCCACTGGAGGACTGCAGTGTCACTGTGAGGAGCAGTTTGCTTGGTCATGTGACCAGTGCAACATCTACGGTGCGTGCAGCAATGCCACCAGCCAAACCTGTGGGTGCATAAATGGACTTCCGTCTGATGGAGCGCTCTGTGAACCAATCACAAGTAAGCATTTCTGTTTAGTAGCAGTTCAAATAAAAGTTGTGCTAGAAAATTTACAAATGAATATCTACTGTATCTGGCTGACTGTCCTACATGTGTTGACATACGCATGTTCATGTTGATTAGAATAGAAGTCATTTTGTTTTCCTAAGCAGATAAACAAGTTGTATTCATTTCATCTCCAATGTTGCCCCACAGATATCACACCGTGTCCAACCCCACCTCCTGGTATGTGAACATTTTTGCTTTTTGTTGAATGGAGACAGTTTCAAAGAGTCTGAAGTAGTTGAAGATACTTGTTGGAAAATGAAAAATAATGTATTGATCTAAAAGAACATTTATTGACTCCAAGTGTTGCAGAATACTTAGATCGACATAATTCAAAAGGACTTCACTGCACATAGTGAAAAGTGTTGTGAATATTGTTGTATATGCTGATGACAGACTCCTGTCATGGACTTTCACCTGTTTTCTTCCACAGAAGTCGTTATATATGACATTGCTCTAGTCCTTGAGTGGCGTATCCCAGTCTCCAGTGTGCCATCAGATTTCATTGAACTATTCAGGAACACTGTGAGAAAGGTCTTGCTCCCCTACACCATCACTCAGTCTTTAAATGTAACAGGCTTAAATTTCACCACAGGTAAGAACTGTTTCTTATTTTTTTACTTGTATGATCTGTTTGGCTGATTGAATTATCTTTTATCCAATGGTGTATGATTTATATAGTATGACTTGAATTGTTTTGAATTGTCTTTAAAAGGGTGCTATCCAAACTCCACTGGAGGACTGCAGTGTCACTGTGAGGAGCAGTTTGCTTGGTCATGTGACCAGTGCAACATCTACGGTGCGTGCAGCAATGCCACCAGCCAAACCTGTGGGTGCATAAATGGACTTCCGTCTGATGGAGCGCTCTGTGAACCAATCACAAGTAAGCATTTCTGTTTAGTAGCAGTTCAAATAAAAGTTGTGCTAGAAAATTTACAAATGAATATCTACTGTATCTGGCTGACTGTCCTACATGTGTTGACATACGCATGTTCATGTTGATTAGAATAGAAGTCATTTTGTTTTCCTAAGCAGATAAACAAGTTGTATTCATTTCATCTCCAATGTTGCCCCACAGATATCACACCGTGTCCAACCCCACCTCCTGGTATGTGAACATTTTTGCTTTTTGTAAAATGGATATAGTTTCAAAGAGTCTGAAGTAGTTGAAGATACTTTTTGGAAAATGAAAAATAATGTATTGATCTAAAAGAACATTTATTGACTCCAAGTGTTGCAGAATACTTAGATCGACATAATTCAAAAGGACTTCACTGCACATAGTGAAAAGTGTTGTGAATATTGTTGTATATGCTGATGACAGACTCCTGTCATGGACTTTCACCTGTTTTCTTCCACAGAAGTCGTTATATATGACATTGCTCTAGTCCTTGAGTGGCGTATCCCAGTCTCCAGTGTGCCATCAGATTTCATTGAACTATTCAGGAACACTGTGAGAAAGGTCTTGCTCCCCTATACCATCACTCAGTCTTTAAATGTAACAGGCTTAAATTTCACCACAGGTAAGAACAGTTTTTTGTTTTTTTACTTGTATGATCTGTTTGGCTGATTGAATTATCTTTTATCCAATGGTGTATGATTTATATAGTATGACTTGAATTGTTTTGAATTGTCTTTAAAAGGGTGCTATCCAAACTCCACTGGAGGACTGCAGTGTCACTGTGAGGAGCAGTTTGCTTGGTCATGTGACCAGTGCAACATCTACGGTGCGTGCAGCAATGCCACCAGCCAAACCTGTGGGTGCATAAATGGACTTCCCTCTGATGGAGCGCTCTGTGAACCAATCACAAGTAAGCATTTCTGTTTAGTAGCAGTTCAAATAAAAGTTGTGCTAGAAAATTTACAAATGAATATCTACTGTATCTGGCTGACTGTCCTACATGTGTTGACATACGCATGTTCATGTTGATTAGAATAGAAGTCATTTTGTTTTCCTAAGCAGATAAACAAGTTGTATTCATTTCATCTCCAATGTTGCCCCACAGATATCACACCGTGTCCAACCCCACCTCCTGGTATGTGAACATTTTTGCTTTTTGTTGAATGGATACAGTTTCAAAGAGTCTGAAGTAGTTGAAGATACTTGTTGGAAAATGAAAAATAATGTATTGATCTAAAAGAACATTTATTGACTCCAAGTGTTGCAGAATACTTAGATCGACTTAATTCAAAAGGACTTCACATAGTGAAAAGTGTTGTGAATATTGTTGTATATGCTGATGACAGACTCCTGTCATGGACTTTCTCCTGTTTTCTTCCACAGAAGTCGTTATATATGACATTGCTCTAGTCCTTGAGTGGCGTATCCCAGTCTCCAGTGTGCCATCAGATTTCATTGAACTATTCAGGAACACTGTGAGAAAGGTCTTGCTCCCCTACACCATCACTCAGTCTTTAAATGTAACAGGCTTAAATTTCACCACAGGTAAGAACTGTTTCTTATTTTTTTACTTGTATGATCTGTTTGGCTGATTGAATTATCTTTTATCCAATGGTGTATGATTTATATAGTATGACTTGAATTGTTTTGAATTGTCTTTAAAAGGGTGCTATCCAAACTCCACTGGAGGACTGCAGTGTCACTGTGAGGAGCAGTTTGCTTGGTCATGTGACCAGTGCAACATCTACGGTGCGTGCAGCAATGCCACCAGCCAAACCTGTGGGTGCATAAATGGACTTCCGTCTGATGGAGCGCTCTGTGAACCAATCACAAGTAAGCATTTCTGTTCAGTAGCAGTTCAAATAAAAGTTGTGCTAGAAAATTTACAAATGAATATCTACTGTATCTGCCTGACTTTCCTACATGTGTTGACATACGCATGTTCATGTTGATTAGAATAGAAGTCATTTTGTTTTCCTAAGCAGATAAACAAGTTGTATTCATTTCATCTCCAATGTTGCCCCACAGATATCACACCGTGTCCAACCCCACCTCCTGGTATGTGAACATTTTTGCTTTTTGTAAAATGGATATAGTTTCAAAGAGTCTGAAGTAGTTGAAGATACTTTTTGGAAAATGAAAAATAATGTATTGATCTAAAAGAACATTTATTGACTCCAAGTGTTGCAGAATACTTAGATCGACATAATTCAAAAGGACTTCACTGCACATAGTGAAAAGTGTTGTGAATATTGTTGTATATGCTGATGACAGACTCCTGTCATGGACTTTCTCCTGTTTTCTTCCACAGAAGTCGTTATATATGACATTGCTCTAGTCCTTGAGTGGCGTATCCCAGTCTCCAGTGTGCCATCAGATTTCATTGAACTATTCAGGAACACTGTGAGAAAGGTCTTGCTCCCCTACACCATCACTCAGTCTTTAAATGTAACAGGCTTAAATTTCACCACAGGTAAGAACAGTTTTTTATTTTTTTACTTGTATGATCTGTTTGGCTGATTGAATTATCTTTTATCCAATGGTGTATGATTTATATAGTATGACTTGAATTGTTTTGAATTGTCTTTAAAAGGGTGCTATCCAAACTCCACTGGAGGACTGCAGTGTCACTGTGAGGAGCAGTTTGCTTGGTCATGTGACCAGTGCAACATCTACGGTGCGTGCAGCAATGCCACCAGCCAAACCTGTGGGTGCATAAATGGACTTCCCTCTGATGGAGCGCTCTGTGAACCAATCACAAGTAAGCATTTCTGTTTAATAGTAGTTCAAATAAAAGTTGTGCTAGAAAATTTACAAATGAATATCTACTGTATCTGCCTGACTTTCCTACATGTGTTGACATAAGCATGTTCATGTTGATTAGAATAGAAGTCATTTTGTTTTCCTAAGCAGATAAACAAGTTGTATTCATTTCATCTCCAATGTTGCCCCACAGATATCACACCATGTCCAACCCCACCTCCTGGTATGTAAACATTTTTGCTTTGTTTTCAATGGATACAGTTAAACAATGTTTGTAGTATTATGTATTGATACCAAGTGTTGCAGAATACTTAGATCGACATAATTTAGGATGACATCAATACATATAGTGAAAGGTGTTGTGAATATTTTTGTGTATGATGGTGACAGACTTTCTTTAAATTCTTCTTCTACAGCAACAACACCAATGACAACAGCACCAAACACAACAACACCAGTGATGACCACAACAATACCAGTGTCGACAGCAACAAACACAACAACACCATTGACGACAACAACAATAAACACAACAACACCAGTTACGACAGCAATAACAAACACAATAACACCAGTAACAACAGCAACAACAAACACAACAATGCCAGTTACGACAGCAGCAATAAACACAACAACACCAGTGATGACCACAACAATACCAGTGTCGACAGCAACAAACACAACAACACAAGTGACGACAGCAATAACAAACACAATAACACCAGTAACGACAGCAACAACAAACACAACAACACCAGTGACGACAGCAATAACAAACACAACAACACCAGTGACGACAGCAACAATAAACACAACAACACCAGTGACGACAGCAACAATAAACACAACAACACCAGTGACGACAGCAACAACAAACACAACAACACCAGTGTCGACAGCAACAATAAACACAACAACACCAGTGACGACAGCAACAACAAACACAACAGCACCAATGACGACACCAACAACAAACACAACAGCACTAGTTTCGACAGAAACAACAAAAACAACAACCACCACACTGGTGTTAACAGCAACGACAAACACAACAATAGACACAACAACACCAGTGTCAACAGCAACAAACACTACAACACCAGTGACGACAGCAACAACAAACACAACAGCACCAATGACGACACCAACAACAAACACAACAGCACTAGTTTCGACAGAAACAACAAAAACAACAACAACCACCACACTGGTGTTGACAGCAACGACAAACACAACAATAGACACAACAACACCAGTGTCAACAGCAACAAACACTACAACACCAGTTTCGACAGCAATAACAAACAATACAATAAACACAACAACAAACACTACAACACCAGTGTTGACAACAACAACAAACACAACAACAGCAGTGCCGACAGCAACAACAAACACAACAACAGCAGTGCCGACAGCAACAACAAACACAACAACAGCAGTGCTGACAGCAACAATAACCACAACAACAATCACAACACCAGTGTCAACAGCAACAACAAACACAATCACAACACCAGTGTCGACAGAAACAACATACACAACAACACAAACGATGACGACTACATCACCCAGCACAACGACAACAACACCAATGACAACAACTACAACGCCCAAGACAACAACAACAACACAGGGTATTGCACATAGAATATATAAATGAAATTATTTGTATCTCATGAAAGTGCTTCTTTGTGATGACAATTGTTTCTGTTTTAGTGAGGAACTTAAATTTCACCATGGACCTAGTTTATGATTCTACATACAATGACCAAAGAAGTGAAGTTTACAGAAACACTAATATCTCAGTAAGTTTTGATGTGTTAATCAATTTTGTCCCAGTGTTCCTGTAATGAATTTATGTGATGTTTGATCTTGATGTAATTGTAGAACTGATAACAAGCAGGCTATGTCATTGTTTTTTAACAGATTCAAGAACAATGTAATAAGCACATCTCAACTCTAGTATCAGTCAACATCATTGGTTTCAAGTAAGTCAAAAATTGTCCTGATTTTACAGATGATGTACTTTTCTACTAATGTTCTTTTCACGTACGTAACATACTATATTATCATAGTGTTAGGGTAATTTTGGTGATGAAATGGAATGTTTACATAAAGGAGTGATAGTGAAGATGTTTTTCAGTAGGCTATTTTAAGGGTGTAGTCGCTACATTGAAAATAAGAATTCTTTACATTTTTTGTTGGCCAGTCTACCACTTTGTTCCAGGCTAAATTATGTTAACCACTGTTGGATGGATTGTCAGAAAAGTTTGTACAGATATTCGGGGGTTCACAGGCTAAATCACACGCTGTGTCCAAAACTACACTTTTAGCAGAATGTTTACAGTAAATTTTATGTTTACGTTTATGTGTGTAGTGTTTTGAAAAAAGTGTGGTTGCATTCTGAGTATAAAGCAGGAAATGTGCTTGTACTTTAGCAGACTTTGTTCAGGCGGTTGAAACAAGACTTAAAGGGTGGTGTTATTGTGTGTCGAGTACCAGCGTTACATTTTTTCTCAATCGCTTTGGCTCAATCGTCGAATGGCTATTACAGTTTTTTACAACCGCTAACATCATTTTGTCCAATCTATAGTCACATTTTAAAAACTCTCAACACAATTAGTCCAACATCGGCCTGTTAATACCATACCATCACAGTTTTTCTCAATTGCTTAAACATTTTTCTTGAAATTATGCCTCTTTTTCTCAAAACTTTAAACACACATCCACAACTTCTCACCCAATTCCCCAAATTTACTATTTTCAGGTCAAAATGAAGCTCTCCACTTAAAATAAATAATAAACTTAAGATACTTTATCGAAACTCTTAACACAGCAACACACCTGCCCACCACAATTAGCTAAATAGTACATGCAAAAAAACATTCTCTACATACACAAACTATCAAAACAGCAAACCTGACTTAAAATCAAATCATTCTGTTAAAACCCTAGCACGTTTTCTTTGCAAGAGGCCCAGATCAATCAATCAGAGCACAACGACTTTCTAAATACAAACAGTTGATGGCATTACTGAAACTGCATTACTTTTCTTGTTTCAGATCTACCTGCATACAATAAACAATGTGAAATCCATTGTTTTTTTGTAATTCAGTTTCCTTTTGCTGTAAACCACCCTGCATTTCTGGCTTAAAGGGGTGTGCATTTTTAGCAACAAACTATGTAAAAGTGTTATCTTTACTTTATAGAATGTAGTGTAGGAAAAAGATGTAAGTGACAGAATTATGGAAGCAAAAGCTTTATTAGCAAAATGAAATCACAGCCAGGGTTCAACAGGTGTTAAAATACTGTACTATACTATACTGTACCATCTGACTGTGTGAGGAGCAAGCCCATTGATGTCTGCAGGCAGAGAAGGCCTAGAGCTTTCCCGTCTGACTGGTCCACCAATGGGCAGAAGTTCACCCCTTGAGACACAGCCCCTCCTCATTTGCATAATGAGGCAGAAATGCATACAGAAATGTAAAAAGGACAGGCAGAAATAAATACCATGGGCGAAAATAAATAAGGTAAAAAAATACAAAGGAAGAATAAAACAGACAAAAATATTAAAACACACACATAAATAAATAGTAAGTAAGTAATTAATAAATAAAGTTGAAGATTATAACGGAGAATAAATAAATAAGGTAATTATTACAAAGGTGAATAAATAAAGGCACTAATTAAAATATATACATTTATGTCTCCTTTCTATAATTTAATTACTACCTACATTTATTTATTTACTTTATTTTTTGTGTATTTAATTGGATGCTTATTTATTTATTTATTTCTGTATTTATTTCTGAATGTGTCAGGATCGGTCCTCCATATGTCTGAGGGCAAAGTTTAGTTTTTCAGCAAGATTGAATGGTTTTGAGTGGAGAGCTTCATTTTGAACTGAAAGAAGTTTGAGGAATTGGGTGAGAAGTTGTGGATTTATTTTTAGAGTTTTGAGAAAAAGAGGCATAATTTCAGGAAATGTGTTTAAGCAATCGAGAAAACTGTATTTTGGGATGGATTGACACAAAACGTACAGACATTCGTGGTTCCAGCATGATGTATCTTAAAGACTTTGGCGACCTTCTAACTTTTCCTTTTAAGGTTGACATTTGTGATTTTGAATAAAAATGTCTCAAAAGCTTTTGGATTGCCACAGAATTTGGTAGAGACATTTATCCCCCCTTAACCTTTATTCTAGCACCATCTTCCCATTAAAATTTCACTTTTCTCATACTTTGGTTAAATTCCAAATACCTACCTGCCATTCCCATCAGCCTCAACTGGACTTTGTGTTTAGTGCTAATTAGAAAATGTTAAGATGCTTAATAAGATACATTCTGTTATGAAATAGCACTGCTCAGCATCAGAACTGTTAGTTTTGTCATTGTGAGCATCTTGGCATCATGGATGTGGTTAGCATGCAAGGTAGAATTTAACTCAAAGAGCTATCTGAAACTGGTCTTAGCTGAGGTGGCTTTATAAGCAGCTAAGTTAAATATGCCCACACTCAAATATGGCACCATATAAAAATGTTTCAAGTCTCTCTTTGGCCCAGTATTGTTCACTTACTCCAAGTCTGTAGGCTGCTGGAAGTTTTTGGTACCTGACTGGAATACTAAAGTAACTAGCTGAAAGAACAAAGGAGAATGTTAAGGTATTTACAAGTTGTCTGAAAATCCAAAATGTGTGTATAGCCCCTAACATGCGCACCAAAAAGAGCATCAGCAAAAGTTATCTGGTGACTGAACTGAAGTGCTAATAATAATAACAATTATTTTTATTGTTATTGTTATTATTTTAATGTATGTATATATATATGTTATAGCACTTTTCAAAAACATATTACATGGTGCTTTACAAAGACATACAGAGAACAAAAGAAATTACCAGATAAAGAATTAATACATTTTGAATTGAAACCTGTCACGATGGCTGTAGGGTGAGGTAGGGCAGGTTGGTATCTGAAATAAAAGCGAAAAAAGAAAAAAAGAGAGAGATTTAAGATTTGATGAGATTGGTGATAGATAGTTAATGGTTAACATCAAGTTTATAGAGCAGATATAATATGAACTACATTATAAATTCTTGTGATTGTATTTTCATTGGGATTCAATTCTGTATTACAGGAGTGGAAGCACCATCGTTGACTATACTGTAAGAGCAAACTCTATAAATGATATGGAAATTGCTGCAGTAACATCAGGGGTATTTACACAGCTGGGAAAAATATACCCTGTGATATTTGACAGTGAGTTTAACACATTTTAAAAACATTTTATGAGAAACAATATATTATGTCATATTTTAAATTCACATAAGCATTGTTTGTCATGTCAGGAATATCAAATTATTTTGTACAGATGATTGTATGATAATTGTCTGACCTTTGTGTCTGTTCTTTTAAAGGCTCAGCTCCCTTAACGTTTAATCCACCTTCAGTAATTTTTGGGGAAAGTGTGACTGTGACATGTGGCCCTCCACCAAAGGATCTCAATTTCAATACCATCTCGACTGCAGAGTGGACACTTAATGGCACTAAAATACTCGAAGATAATGAACATCACTTTGGAACTGCAAATGGAGCAGCAACATTAACTGTGGAACATTTTTTTATCACTGATGTTGGTAAGTATGGCGCAGTCAAGAAATTATTTTTATTTCTGTCCCAGGAGACATTAAAAATCATACACATTTACAATGCAAGTGCTGCCTAGGACGTTTCTCCTTGTGCTCTGACCTGTGCGAATGCAGAACTGTGATTGGCTTGAGGGCAGTATTTGTTTTACAGTGCAAAACACCTACGCTGTCTTCATTGCTTAGCCTGTCCCACCAATGCCAAAAAATTATCGGGTCATGGTAATGTTTGACCAAAAATGTTACAAAAGTTAATGGTAAAGAATTATACAGGTTGAAATGTATCACAAAAGAAGCAGATAAATTATTTTCTTAATGACTGAAGTCTGAATATACAGCCTGTGGAATTTCCATTCTGTAGAATGGGGAAAAGCGCCAGTATTCACTAAATAGTTGTTACGTTATCATCTATTCAAATTCACTCCCTCTTGTGTTTTTTAAAGCCTAAAGGTCGATGAGACAAAGAAAAAAGCTCTCCACTTTAATTAACCAATGTCATTTCAGTTCCATGCATACTATTCAAGTCTTTTTAATTCTCCTATTTTAACGCTTACAGCACAAAACATTTGGAAGTTGTAGATAATGTTGTTACTACTGTCGTACTATATCAAAACCTGAAAGCTGATTTAGGTTGATGCCCCCCTTATAGCCTGAGGGTGCTGTCAGCCCACACATTTTTGTATTTGTTTGGCAACACTGGCCTCACAGTGATTTGATGTTAATTGATGATCACCTTTAATTTCAGGAAGGTATCAATGTATGCTGAAAGACAGTGGGAGCCGTGGAATATTCAGACAGATATCCAACGGAACATACACTTTCCAAAACAAACCCTTGATCCAAGTGAAACCGATGAAACAACTGGTCCAATGTGGTGCCGTAACGTCAGTGACACTGCAGTGCTCTGTCAACAGCCCCTATAATGTTGTGTTTAATAAAGAAAATTCTCCTACAGGTAAACCTGAAACAAAAATGCACCAAAAGGAGAATCAACTACTGGAACATTTTTTTTACATATTGCATATACTACATTATTTGAGATCATGGTTATACATATATAGTATTTTATAGTGAATGTTGAAACTGTTTGTCCAAGATGACAGTTTTTTTGTATGTTTAGGCCCAGCCATCACCTATCCGTTTCCTATACCCAGTACCTGTGAAAACCAGATCGTCACTTGTCAAGTGATAAACCATATGGAATTTAACATGAATATTAAACTGGTGTTAACCAACGACAGTAAGTATTGATCCAGACATTTTGTTAAATTCAGGTCAGTTTTATTTCCCAGTAATTACTTTTTCTTTCTTTCTTTCTAGAACTTATATGTGTCAATGATCCTGTGTATGGTAGTGGAACTCTTAATTACGTGGCTGAAGCTCCCTGCGAACCAAACTATGTGGGAGCAAAGACAGCTGTTTGTGGGAGCGATGGTCAGTGGGGAAATAAACAAGACAACTGCGTCCTTCAAATTGTCCAGCAGCTGTTCCAGCAGTCTCAGGTAACCTAGTTCAGGATTTTTTGATTTACTGATTTAGGGCACACTGGCCTCTGTCTATAGAATCTACACCCCACTTCAGTGTTTCCCATTCAATGCCACATACTATAGGCTATACTATTCAATACGAGTAAAATATTAATACATTGTGGAGCCGCTCACAGCGCATAGATTCGCTCACCACCTCCATTTGCTTGCTCCATCTCTCTCACAAACTCATTGAAACGGAGCCGGGTTACACACAGTAGCTCCGCTTTAATCTTGAGAAGCTGCAGAGCTGCAGTCTCTATTCATTCAACGTACACTGTACATTTCCAGCTAAACTGAGGCTTTTTTGAAGACCCTTTTCTCTCTCTCTCTCTCTCTCTCTCTCTCTCTCTCTCTCTCTCTCTCTGCCTGCCATTCACCGGTCTTGTGCAGAGTTTTTGCCGTGCTGCCGATAACTGCATGCATGGGTCTATTTCAAGTAGCCGGCTATTTAAAAACGATAAAATATTCTGTGTGTGTTTCATCAACGGTGATAAATTATGTACGAAAGTCCCGCGAGGTGCGGACAACTCTGCACAACACCAGTGAAGCTAGGGCTCCGTCTCTTCAGCAAGTGTTCCTCTTCTGCCACCACACACATACACGCTACGCCTACACATGCACACCAACGAACCCAGGGTTAGGGTTACAGTTTGGGATTTATTTACGCACTTTAAAAACATTTATTGAAAGTTTTATTCATTTTACATGTTTATTTACAGCAAACATTGAAATGTATATTGTTATAGGTTGTATATTTACTTATTGGGAGAAAACTGGTAGTTCTATCTAAAATTAGACGTTGAGCCCATATCATACCAAAATGGCATGATCCTTGTTTTGCTGCCAAGCTTCGACTGTGAGATTGACAGTTGAATCAGGCTCCGTCTATCGAAGCATCAAATCGACAATTCAGGGTCAGCCCTAGTATACAGTTGGCATTTAACGTATTCTGGGGGGGGGGCAGGAAAAATTTCACAATAGAGAAAATAATCTTAACTCAATGTCCACCATAAAAGTAGACAATAACTGTTGATTATACATAATGAAACACCATTAATGGTGTTTGTGAATCTTTGTTTAGGGTGATCATGTTCAAAGGACGCTAGGTTGGGTTAGGGTACTGTTTAGCAGAGGCTACAGACAAACAAAGGAGAAATTAGTATTAGATGGAAAACAATAATTTGGACTGACTTGGGGAATCTCTAATATTAATATTTGGGGTGATGTATATTTATGTTTTGGGATTCTTTTTACTTTAAAGATACCTTAACATCTCTCCTGTTCCATTTAATCTACTGCTTTGGTCATTAGTGAAGCTCACTTCAAATCCAGTATATATAAATATAAATATATTTAGCCTCAGTTCAATATTGTGTCACACTGCACCAGCACTGCACTACTGCCACACTGCAAAAACTCAGTTGGTCATACCCATATGCGCCAGATGAAATTTGCGGATCAAAGGCTGAATCAAATTTTACCACAATTGCTTAATTTTTCTAGCAACAAAAACCCATACCATAATTTTAAAGATGCTGTAAGTAAATACAAATCATACATATAGTAACTTTATTTGATTTGTGAAATAGTGTGTAATCCTACTTTTTTTTCTCATACATCTCACAGAACTTGAATAGCAATTCATTGCCAGGATTCTTGGAAAAACTCAGCTCTGCCACTGTCAGCTTTACTGAGCAAGTGGTTAACTCTCCTGGAACCATTACCGCCATTGTTCAAATACTCAACAATGTAGCCAATGTGTCATTATCACCAAATATCTCAATAACTGAAACTTCAATGAAGGTATGTGAATTAGTCTGCTGAGGTTTGTACATGTCCTACACAATATGCACATTTCAATACAATATTACATCTCTAATATCTTCTTTCCTTTGAATTTAGAACATCCTATTAACTGCAGGTGTCCTCACCATAAATGGCTCAAAGACATCATGGGGCTATCTGAATGGCAATGACACCAGCAACATTACAGCAACACAAAGAAAAAGTGTCAGCTCAGCATTTTTGCAGTCCCTTGAGAATATAACAAGTCGCCTTACCAATGACTCTTTCAATATTGACACACCTTCAATTCTCTTGAACAAAACTACATTTACAAACACTTTCATGGCTGACTTTGATTCCTCTGTGGAGATAGACATACCAACGTCTGATGGAAGAAGTAAGTTTATCACTGTGGTAACATTTGCCTCAATGGATAACGTGCTCCCTGCAAGAGACAAAGGAAATTCATCCATCTACGTCATCAACGGGAGAGTCATACTTGTTCAGTCCAGTGGTACCGTCGATAATGTTTCGTTCACATTTGATATTATAAACAATACTCTGGGGAACGCTCAGTGTGTTTTCTGGAACTTCAGCCTCTTCAGTGGTCTCGGGGGATGGGACAATGGGGGCTGCGTGTTGGTATCCAACAACACCAACGTCACCTGCAACTGCAACCACCTGACCTCGTTCTCTATCCTTATGTCACCCTACACCATATTTGACATTGTGTTGGATTACATTACCTACATTGGAGTTGGCATATCTATGGCTTCCTTGGTCATATGCCTCATTATTGAAGCTATCATCTGGAGAAAAATAAGAAGGAACACCACATCTTACTTGCGTCATGTTTCCATTGTTAACATCGCTGTGTCTCTCCTGATTGCTGACATCTGGTTCATTATTGGGGCCGCCATCTCAGATGCAAAGAAAGTAAACCAACCAGCATGCACTGCGGCTACATTTTTTATCCATTTTTTCTACCTTGCCCTGTTCTTCTGGATGTTAGCCTCAGCTCTGCTGTTGTTCTACCGCACAGTCAGTGTCTTCGACGGGGGTTTATCTAAAAACTCTATGTTGGCTATTGGATTCTCTCTAGGCTACGGGGGCCCTCTCATCATCGCTGTCATAACTATAGCTGTAACTGCACCCCAAAAAGCGTACATCCGAGACGCTGGGGTCTGCTGGCTCAACTGGGATAAGTCCCAAGCTCTACTGGCATTTGTGATCCCTGCACTGACAATAGTGGTGATAAACCTGTTAATCCTGCTTGTTGTGATTTACAAAATGTTGAGAAGAAGGGTAGGAGACTCTGCACAAGCAGCTGAAAGACATGTTATGGTCATTATTGCAAGGAGTTTGGCTGTCCTCACACCATTTTTTGGATTAACTTGGGGTCTGGGAGCCGGAACCCTCGCCCACCCAAACAATAGAGGAATCAATATTTCATTTGCATTCTTCAATTCACTGCAGGTACAAATACAATAGTTAATAATACTGATCTATATATTATTGTATCCTTTGGTACCTAATTTTTCCTACAGATTCTGAATAATGAGTTTGTTTTCTTGGCTGATGCTGCTCTGTCTTTCTTTTAAGGGTTTCTTCATCTTGGTGTTTGGAACGCTGTTGGACAAAAAGGTGTGTGTCTCAATATTATTATTTTTAACTGCTTACTTAATTAAATGGAAACTCTAACGAGTTCAGTTCTTTAATATCGCATTGCTTATGTGTGATATATGAATTGAATTGACAATCTCAAGCAAATATTCTGTAAATTTAGTTAGCTGGTGTTGGAAAAGCACTGCATTTTA